GCTCTAGTCTACTTACTTCGTCCTAGGCTGAGTGGGCCGCTCTCCAGAGCAGACGGGAACTCACTGCCACTCCCAGCCCCAAAAGGGACTCATTGGCCGCGCACACATCCGAAGAAAAAAGGGAGAGACTGGCACCGACCCAACGACAAGCCACAGCGACACTCTCCTCCCTCAAACAAAAACCACAACGAGGCGAAGCCGTCGGCCCCTCAGTGCCTGCGCTTCAAACGCGCGCCCACACGCTACAAGAGAAAAAGCCGGAGCGGCTCGCTTGGGAGCCCTTCGCAACCGATTGCCCCCTTCGTGAGAGAGCAATAACAAAAGCAGCCACTTCGTCACTCCCCGCAGCCAAAACCGTGGCCATACCGCCCCGCTGCGCCGCACTCCGGTGAAGCGGATATCTTGCGGCAACTCGTGGCAACTCGTTCCAGAATTGAAGCCCTTCGCTTCGGCAACTCGAGCAACTCGTTGCAACTCGAGTAACTCGAAACCCGATATTTTACTTACTCTATACATAGTCATAGATTGTAGGGCTAAGAGAAAGAGCAAGTCCAAACATATCAACGACCAGAAGAGTCGAGCACGGTCCTTTTCTTTTTCTCCTTATTTGAAGACGATACTAGCTTCACCCCTCTGCTAACCTCACGGAATTCCATTCGTCAAAGAAAGTTTGGCTTCAGTGCCTCCATGGAGAAGTTTTCGAGTTCATGCACACAGAGAAAGACGCCAAATCTGCATGTAGTTCAAAAGAAGATGAAAAACTTTAATTGCAACTAGGTCACTTACTTATCCCACCACCAAGACCAATCAAGTTAACAAATTACTTACCATCCACAGGAAAGCAACAAGCTGACATCAATCAACCTAATAATCAACACACTCATTATTTATTTACACACCCACCTCCATCCAAGAACAGAAAACAAGAAAGTGAGTCTTACTTACGGCAGAGCATATTTTGATCCTTTTTACACAGCACCAAACAACCACCAGAAATATTCAAAGCAAAAGATGACCGCGCTCATTTTTGAAGGATTCACAGTAGATTCATACTTTCCAGCACGGAGGGATCATGATCATACCAGACGAGCAGCGAGGTCCGGGAGAGATTTGAGACAAGGGAACCTTTTCCAATCGCCAAGTAAACATCTCGCCGTCGCCATCGAGCAAACAAACATATAACAATTCGGAGCAGGTCCTCTGACTCCGAACTATGCTCGATATCATATCGGGGATCTTGTTGTTTACATCGGAGGATCTTCGAGGCAAGCACTGACTTCATCATCATCATCATCATCATCATCGTTGTAGTTACTTAGTCGTATTTTTATCAACAACTCAGTCAGAGTCTCAGACCCCAAGAGGGATCACGTGCATTCAAGTTGTCTTCGTCTTTGCATGAGAGAACAACATCACGACGGAGACATTCACACTGGAGAAGCCTCTCCTGAAAGTAGGCGGCCGAGGGCCCTGCTTCTCCTAGAACACTGTGTAGTACAACTAAGCCAGTAATTCCAGCACCTCCAACTAAGTGCAGCCTTGAAAAATGCTTCTTTTTCTTTCAAACTCAAAATTTTTGTTGCATCCGATAGAAGTTCTGTTCTGCGAGGACATACAGCAGAGCCGCAAAGCTGCGAGGCGCATGGAATGCCCGCTGGCACTGAGCGCGCGTAATCGGCATATTCTTCTCCAAAAAATCGGAGCAGGTAATACTCCTCGGCACGGATCCGACGGAATAGCGTATGATAGGGAAAGAGGCAAAATCACAATGCTATGACTATGTTGTATGATCATGGATTTGTACGTCAGAATGTCTTCATTATCTACTTCGAGTCATCCATTAGTCGTACGAAAAACCTCGGTGAGGACTGTTTCTAGTCTATCTATCAAAGAAAGAAGAAGCTGATTACGAAGAGCCAACTATAATAAACATTACCTTACGAGGAGGAGGAATCTCAACATCACCAAATATAAATACAAGCAAAGGACCAGCTTCATGTTTTCCCATAAAGAAACGTGTAGGCGATCGCAAAGAACAACAGAAAACTGAGTGGATTCCGCAGTGCGATCTGAGTCCCCAAGGTCCATAGAAACCAGCCCATGTACGACGGGTGCCGCACGTAATTGTACACGCCCTGTTGCACCAGCTGATGTCCCTCATGTCGCTTTGTTCGTATCAGATGCGTGAAGTTACTGCCTGCTGTCCACAGTGCCGCAACGCGCAACAGCATTCCGATACTGAGACAAAGTAGACTTAGCACCAGAAGTCCACTCCGGACCCAGAATAGTATCGAGGACATCTTTGCTCCACCCCAAAAGTTAGCGTCATAGCCATCCTTTGATGCGCTGGCGTCTTTAGTGATTCCAAGAGCGGAAAGGATTGGTGGCAACGAATCAGGGGTGAAAACGAACTCTGCAGCTGCGAGCAGAAAGACGATGAGGTACAGGTGACAGGGAACGGGATTCAGGACGAAGCTCGCAAAATGCAAGGAGTCTGGATGGAACACGACAACGAAGTAGAACTCTGCGAGGTGGAACAGCAGGAAGCTCAACATGAAAATGCATGCACCAACGCCATTGAAAAACTCCTCCTTGTCAATCGGCGCGTTTGATGAGGCAGCTGTCGCGGCTACACCGATCGTCTGCGCTAATATGCACAAAATTTGCGCAAGGAGGAAGCCAATAGCTGCATTGCCGAGAATCACACTGGGCAACCTCAGCGTCGTAGAAAAAAGTTGACACCATCTTGAGTCTTCAGGTTCTCCTTCAGCCGGTCCCGGCACTAGATTCGCAAGAAGGAGGGCCAACCCAAAAAGCCATCCTACACTCCTCCACTGCGATATCGGGCAAAGAACTGCGAGAGTACAACCCCCAACGAGGGCCACCACACAGAGCTGCTTGGTGTCGAGAGCAACGAAGGCGGCCATGGTGATGCAGCTAATAAAGTAGAAATGATCAGAGAAACCTACGAGAACATGCCCATTTCTACAGAAAGCAGCAAAAAGGTGTGCTTATGAATGGATAGCATGTAATTGTAATATCTAGATCTAAATGAAGATGAAGTCACCGTCGCTCGTCCTGCTCGAGCCTCGAGTGTAATTGCAAAAAATATTATGATTGCGGATCGACTTCTCAGAATTTATACGACCGAAGCCTCCGCCTATTTGCGTTGTTAAGGACATCATTGCCATAAAAGTTCGCAAGCGCTTGCGCTGGAAGAAAACGCGGCCCATCTATTAACACAACAAACTACCGGTAGCGGTAGTGGTACCCTGGTAAAGGTGACGCGAATTCAATCGTGCATGAAGACACAGACGCGAAACCCTCGCCGTACCCGAGTGCAAATATGGATCATGTTTTCATTATAGTGGTCGCCGTCTGCTCCCAGGCAGCACGACCCAGTCTCGGAGTTCTTCTCCAGTAAGCAAGTAGGCGACAACTAAATGCTCTTATGATGGTGCACCAGCAGTACAACATTCAATCGATATTCAGACAGTTGTCCTTCGTGCGTAAATCTGAATGCTCTTATTTGCGCGTTGACATTGCGGTTCATTTTTCTCCAGAGAGTAAAAAAAGTTGTGGAAATATTCATTTTCATTTTTCATTGCTTCTTGCTTTTCGATTTTTTGGGGATGATAGTGGGTAGGTTGATCGTCAAATTGATTTTGCGATGTCGACAAGAAACATCGTACAAATTATTTGAAATATCGTATTTGAAATATAAGTCGTGTCAACTACCATGGCTCCATGGAGATGGAGCTGGGCAGAAAACCAAAAAACACACAGATTCCCCTGCCTAGCCATAAAATCTTCCATGCAGAGCAGGCAGAAGATGCGCTCCAAAAAAATATATGTCGGTTTCCTTAGGGTTAGGCTTTTGGCGCCAACATTTCCTTGACCTTTTTCTCGACTTCCGCAAAGTGTGGTCGCACCTTCTCAACATAGGCGCTGCAGACCTTGCAAGCTGGCTCGTAGTTGCTCTCTGCGATACACAGAAGCCGTTCCAAGTAGTTATGTTTGGGGCTGACCAGGAGGAAAGAGCCGGCAATCAAGGTTTCGTAGTAGACATCCAGGAACACAGCCCCCACAATCGTTAGTGGCAGGGTGAGAACGGTTGCGACGAACGGGATGGTGCAAACTCCACTGACCATCGCGTACAGGACCCAGTAAAACAACCAGAGCTGTTTTTTTAGAATTATGTGCGGCTATTCTTATGGAAGAAAGTGAAACTACAACTACTGCTATAGGACGAGCTAAGCGTGCATTTTACAGTTTTCTATGATGTTGTTAAACTAGGAGGAAATAAAGATATGAAACCAAAGCCTATTTGATTTCATCCAATTTTTAGCTTAGGGCTTTACCCTGACACCCGCATCGTCCTTGAGGTGTAGTGCGTGGAGCGATTGCAGGACTGGCCAGCCGAGACTCACAGCGAGCCAGATTGGATACAGCAGAAGTACCGGCAACATCGTCAATATTCCCTTATTATTTTTTTCACCGCTACAAATCGTAAGTCCTTTTTTTTGGCTTGTCAAGAAAATGAACTTGTACTAGCTTTGAAAAGAAACGAGGAGGAGAATACACATCAACCAAAACAAGAAGAGTACTTTTAAAAAATGACCCAAAAACAAGCCTGGTTTTCAGTTCGAGATACTATTTGACTAATCATAGAAATAGGTAAACGAAAACATCAACCATCAATCGCAAAAATCAGATGACAGAAGAATGAGGAAGATCATAATCATCTTTCATCATTGAATTTGACTTTCTTGACAAAAATGATCGATGGCAGCGAAATGATCACGATCAATCTTCGTAGAAAAGCACATGCGAAAATAGGTCAAGGTCCACCTCCATTTCCAGGTTTGATCCAGATGGGAACAAGTTGCTGCAAGATCATTTTTTAACGTTAGTGTTGGCGAATCCGAGATCCATATTTTTTTCAAGAAGATGTGAAGATAGGCGACCACAAGGACAAGAGCAAGATGGTCATCAGATCTAGTAAATCGAGTTTGAGTGCTTCCTCGATGCCACGATGTTGAGTCAAGAGCATCGTCCTTGTGCTTAAGCAGCTTGATGTAAGCGTGTAGTGCACAGCACGCAGGCGTCTCCTCGAGACATGCGCTTATTAGCACCTTTGGATTGTTTTTACTTATTGTATAGAAGCAACTTCTAGTGTCAGTATGCAATTGCAACGTTAAGCCCTTTGTATAACTCATCCATCAAGAAATCATACGAAGGGTCGGCCTCTCCCAAGGCAGATGAAAACCGATCGAATTGAGGTCCGGTGAGGTCGCGTAACCGAAAGAGGAATCATTTGATATAATTGTGATAAGTTGTTGTATAATTTGGTATGAAGACCAAAGCTGTGGCAAAATTATCACTTTCTTTAGGAATTGATACCTAGTTTTTCAAAGAAATTCATGGAAACATCAACCACAGTTATCTATAAATGAACGATAGAGAAATGGCATGAATTCCCGCAAAACCAATCATCGAAGCAGAAGAGAAACCACTGGCAATTGTCGCAAAAAAGACCTACTAATAAAAACCACATATATTCCTGTTTGGTACATGGCGCTTACCTAGCTTCTGGTAGCCGGTAATTTCCCATGAGTCAGCTGGCTCAGAAGCGTCGGCGTCACATTGGTCATGGGCATCTTTATGACTACTCGCTCTTGCTCGTCCGAGAATAGCCAAAACAAATGCTCCAACTCGTGCTGTATCCATGAATGGGGAATGGAAGGGCCAGGTCGTTGTAGTCATACCTGGTGCTAGGACTATTACCACTTTCTTCTTATAGTCGGCCTTGAGTTTCTAAAATAAATACCAATACGTACGGTACGGTATCTTCAGTCTTCTTGAGGTTGGGACTTTGATTAAATATTTTATAAGACTCATAATCGGTATGTCTCTCGCCTATCGATTTTTCGCTCAAAATCGTCCTGCCCGTGTGCAGTTATCGAGCGCTTCTGATTGCTAAAGAAGAAGTCACACAACTGGACGTCGTCCTGCACTGTCGTTGCTTGCCAAGGCTGTAGAAATAGAAGTATCTACTTATTATCGAAGAACATCGACGAGCGTGCTAGTAAAAATCACCTTCAAAAATTGTACAACTTCAACTAAATAATGGAAATGAAAAAGCCGCTGTCTACAGAAAATGAAGAATCGCCTGCTCACTTTCATCAGACTTAGAGATTAAGATTATAGAGTGTGTGCCAAAGCCAACGTCGGAAAGAATAAAAGAAAAGGACAACTAGTACTAGTAGTACGTCCAAGGAACAGCAGATCTTTGCAGCGCCAAGATTGTGTTGCTGTGCTGCGCCACCAACTGACTTTATCACATGGAGAATGTGATCGATATAAATGGGTTCCAAGTCTATTTTCAACAGGAAACTGCCGATTCCCGTAGCCCCACTTCGAAAAAACACCTCCTTGGCCGCTTTCTCTGAAACCTGAGCAGGTAAATTTGTTGTGCTTGTGGCGTTTTCAAGGTTGTAACCCACACGAGAACTAGTTCGTGCGAGGTCGTTGTATATCTTACTCGGTCAACATGCAGAGCTATCAGAAGCATGTGCAACACGTAATCATGATGAATGATGAGCTCCAACGAAGGGACATATCTTGACAGAAAATCATATGATACCCTTTTCTCTATGCATTTTCTTCGCAGTGCACGCGTGGCTTCCCTCAGGGCATCGATCTGCACGATCTCTTCTTGATAAGAGGACAGACACACAGTGAAATCTAGCAAGCGAAGAGTGCCACCCTCACCCGATTCGAATAGATGTGGCGCCGCTTTTCTTAACAATTTCAGTACGCGCTCGCCAGCTAAAATAGTGTGAAAAGAGGAGAAAAAAAATGCGATATATCTATTCATATTGTGCTGGAGGAGACGGAGAGTTTTCCCTCTCTCTGCCTGAAGAAAAGAACGCGCAAGCAACGGATCGAAGCGACTAGAAATGGGTACGTACAACCTGTTTCTGTTTGTGTTTGTTCCTGTGTTGTAAACAAATTAGAAGGGCAAGTACGCAGTTGCTTGACGGTAGCTAGACCCAGCGCGAGCTCGGCTATTCGGACAAAGCTTCCCTCGGATACCTGTCCGTCTTTTGCTGCTGCAAAGAGCGCGCCGAGACACGCTGGGCTATTGCGCATTGCTTGAAGGCCGATACGAAGCTCGGGATGGAGGCGTGGACGAAGCATCTCTTCTCGGGATGAGCTACTGCTGCTGGAAGAAGAGCTACTACCAATTCCGGAGTATGAAAGGCGGTCTACTTTGTCATTCTCACTCTCAGCAGTAGATAGAAGAAGATAATTGCTTTTCCTGAAAGTAGAAAAATGAGTCAACCTGTACCTGCCTTTGTATTTGTTATTGCTCATCAAATCCAAACTAGCAGAAGCCTGATTTTCTTTTCCTGTTTGTCGTTGTCCGTTATGTGTCGACAGTAATTTTTCAGAAGGTCGTAAAGGAGCGCTTCTAAATCTAATCACGCGAGCAGCTTCGTGTTGACTTCGACCATAATTGCAAAGCTGTGCTTGGATGCAGGACTTTGCTCGAGACAAAGAAGTGGTCGCGATCCCTTCGAGGGGGCTTCTCCAGCTTCTTGGCTTCCAATCTTTCAAGCTCACGCCTTTGTTGAAGGAGCTCCATGCGTTGCGCGGCACGCTCTTTCATGGCATCTAAGCGCTCCTCTACACCGCCAAGCTGCTCTTCTAGTCGTTGCTCCCCAATCCGTTCCTTCTCCAATATCTCGTCCATCTTCGAATAGTATGAATCCAGTGAGTCAGTTTGTTGACTTCTTCATCTTCATTCTGTGAAAATCATGATCGTGAGTAGATTGTAGATACATCTTGAATCCGTTCTACAACAAGAACATACAAAGTAGTTCAAAAGTCGTTTATTGACTTATTTCACTGAAAGTTTATGATTAAATGTCCATGTGGCTCTCGCATCGTAAGTTTAGAACCGCAGTCTGCTTTTCGTTCTCGGTCATCTGCATCTGCTTGATATCCTGCGTTTCTTGCATTGGCTTGAAGTAGTGAAAAGTCACACACTGGACAAGGGAAAAGGCAAGAAAGGTTTCCCCTAGAGCGATGACGGCAAGGAGAAAGCCAATGAGATTGAGAACTACCAAGATTTTATTTAGGATCAAAAAAGACACATCGTCCAGTCTATGCTGGAAGATTGGTCTGCTCAGTAGCAGTACTGACATGTGCATGAGGATTCACTAACTAGTAAAAACACTACGTCTACGACTACCTAGTGAGATACGATATTTGGGACGGAGGTAGCTTCAAGTATCCGGGCTCGTAGATTAACACTACTAACTTTAGCCATTTGCATTTCATACATTTTGCTTGCTTGCTGAAAAATGCGCTGAGCTGCGTCTGAAGCCGGTGCGTCTCGGCCCAGCTACGATGTATCGATGCATGCATCTGCCGCGTTCTAGCCAAATGCGAATCGTCACCTTTGTGATTTACGGATTTTTTGTCTATTCCTCCTCTCATTCTCTCTTACTCTTCTTGCTATTAATCCAAATTTCTTACTCCTAGTTGTACCTACACCGAATCCAACACGAAAAAAACCAAAGAAAGACAAGATAAACCTACGATAAGATCATTACAGAACTGCTCGTATTGGATCTTCGTGGCTTTGACAAGCTCCTGCAGCTTCGCGACTTCATCTTCCAACTGTGCTGCTCGACTTTGCTTCAGCTGTTTCGCTATGCTCAAAATCGCTCGTTCGCGCTCCTCCACCCGCTCCCGCAACTCACTCGTCTTCTTCTTCGCTTCTGCGAGGATTAGAAGCACAATAAAGAGGAAACTTCTATTTTGTGATGAAGTCCATGAAGAAATTGTAGTCGAGTCTACAACTAGGAAAATATTTTGTTCCATGTTTGTTCATTCTTCATTGTAGTGTCTATTCCTTTGCTTGTTCCTACTGAAGATGGCACAATCATCAAAGGCAGACACTCGTCATGCCGAGCAGAATAGTTCTAGTCAATGACGCTCATACAAGCAATTCCAATTCGCTGCGAATACTCTCGATCTCCTTGGTATATGGAGGGGTCACTTTTGCTGTAAGAAGCATGTCCACTAGCTGCATGTCTTTTCTGTACTCGGTTTCTTCCAAGGCGCATACCTTGGTCACGATAGATTTGAGGCCTGAAGAAGTATTAACGTAAAGAAAAAGAATGCGCTACTAGGTACTTCCAAAAATAGGCAGACATTATTTTTTTAACTCTACCTCCGCATGCGTCGCGTGGCAGGTTGCTTCGAGTATTTGTAGTTCGCGGCGGCTGTTGTAGACGAGATCCTCCATGTATTCGACATCAGCCAGTCGTTCTCTGCCCGAAAGCACTTTACTTTCGGGTTGGGCTGCTGTACTGGACGTAAATCTTAGAGGAGCATGGAGCCTGATTCAGCGCTCTTGGTTCCGATTCTCCTGTTTCTGTTTCTGCCTTGACACCAAAACTCCAACAGAGTTCTTCTAGAAGTACCAAGAATATGGGAATCAGGATACACTACCAAAGACGCTACCTACGCGTTACACCAAGCCATAATGCTGATGCAGTCTCCGGTACCCCTCGCTGCTGTGGTGGCCTGGCACCTGGAGCGGATCGCGGTCGACCACCCGGAGCGGCGACCATCGTTCAAGACAGCCTTGGAGCTTTCTTATTATTTGCGCCTCTTGAATGATGTGTGTTTTCTCCACCCTCTCTTGATGCAGATGTAATTGTAAATCAATAGTAAAAATTGCATCTATGTAGTCAATGTAGTATTTGCAGACATTACGATTGGTCTTCTGCTGCCACGACCTTAAGCACGGCCACCAGGGCCAATTGTTTTCGAGAGATAATGATTAAATCAAGATCAAGATGCACCACATGCAATATTACAAAATGCAATAAGTACATTAAATATCGTACCACAAAGTACAGTGCAGACTGCCAAATCTACTGCCATACTTTGTGTCAACTTTGGCTCCAGAAATCGTTTTGGGTGATAGTTAAGGCTGCCCTTTTTACCAATCTTTTTACTAACGCGCAGCTGGATCCTTCGTCACACTGAAAAAACCTTTCCCGCCATGTTGGCTTCGTTCGGCACCTCGAAAGCTAGCGCTTTCAAACGAAAAATCATCATGCGATGAAGGAGCCATATGATCTTGCTCTCCCCTTTTTAAATATACATATTAGTCAGACTCAGAGGTCTTCACCAAAATTCCCGGAAGACTTTGCTCTCAAAATTGTGAAAAATCAAGAGGACTTAGGGCAGTCCGCCCGCCAACATGATAGTGAGGTGTAAGCCTATAGTTGGAAACAACTCCACAGAGACAAAATGAATCGGAACGAAACTGCACATCAATCATGAGCAGGGCGATGATCATGCCTCGTAGCGATGGATACATCTACAATAATAATATCAAGTGTAAGAGCGAACTTTCTGCGTCTGGTGATAGATGACTTATGTGAGTGTCTTTCTTGGTGGTTCGCCGCACAACACAATGAAGAACGCACGACTACCTACTGGAAATGGTCATTCTTGTCAGTGTCATAGTACATGCCAAAAAATATATTTCACCGGTAGGGGAATTCAATATGACTAACTGGACCTAGTAAATACACGGTAGGACGAAGAACTCGAGATGAGACATACTTCATCGATCATAGAAGTCGATTTCGTAACTAATCTCAATATTCTTATTAAATCATACAATACCCAAAAGACAATAGGAATAATTATGAATCTTTTAGGAACTGTGCCACGTCTCATAGTCGTCTCCAAGATCAAGCCCAGGGCTGCTGAAGATATCAACAATCCAAAACATAGTTTACAGGTAGTTGACTGTCGAAACATTAATAATTTTTGTTCTGGATAGATACAGAGAAGAAGTCAGTCATCCTTGTCGCACCTAGGTACTTATGGTTATGAGTTCATTTGATTCTGTGAATATCCTGAATCGCTCCCAGCAGGATGGATATCTCCCGGCTTCACGGTTTCTGGACGTGTGTCTCCCTTATTGTACCCGCTTTATCGAACTAGAAGCGAACATAAAAAAAACCCAACTACAACACTAGCAATCCTAATACACTGAAATAAGAAATCATGCAGATCCATCATGACACGCATTGAAAATTTATAAAGGCAAAACATCAACTTCAACACTATATATTTATAACTCTAACTATTCCTATGATCCCCAATTCCCGATTACCAGCCTTCTTTTACCCGTTGCGTCTCCAATCGCCATTTCCCATTTTGACCTCCAAGAGTCGCGCCAAATTTTCGCACCAGATCCCTATTGCTATTGGATATTCAGTCTTGAAATACTAAGCGAGTCTGCAGCCGGTGCGTCAACATATGGATGCAAAAGGTCTTCTGGTCCTTGGAACAAGTTCACGAGGTCGAATACCGTTTCACCGAGGAGGGATGCGTTAGAGGTGTGCGCGGCTCCCGAGGTTTTTGTTTAAACGATTCTACGCAATCCCAAATAACTCAATCAAAATAACATTCCTTCGACGTCTGACATGAGAAAGAACTCTCTCTACAACCGTGAGCGAGTGCGAGCAGTTGTAAGAAAAATATTCTACGAAAAATGCAGCACATGCCTCCTTCCGTAATGTCGAGAATGGAGTCGGCTAACTGATTTTTCACCTCGAGCAGCTCCTCGTCTACTTTGAGCCAGGCCTTCTCCTCATCGCGCAACTCTACACCGAGAAGGGCATCCAACTGCTCCTCAGACATTGGAAAACTGGCTTCGATCAACGCTTCAGGATCCTCCGGTGTGTCTGCCATACCCTCAACAAGCTTCTTCGGCTTGATGTACTTTAAACACTCATCACCATGAATTAGATGAATAATCTTTTTTCTTTAGCCACTGGAGCTGTTCTTACATATCTTTTTGATTGGGTTGGTCGACGACTAGTTGTAGAGACTCATGTCGACACTAGCGATGAGTGGATTCCTAAGTTGTGGTTCTTCTAGAAACCGGTACGATATCATGATGGACGAACAAGAGTGTGAGTGCACAGGATAAAAAATAGCAACAGGAGAGGACTCAATCTCAAAAATATTGAAAGAAACAGGAACGACAACGAATGATCAATAACAAATACAGCTGAAGGGGCTGAAGGATGGATCATCATGAAGCATAAAAGTAGTCCCGCAATCTGTCGATATGTGGGTCGGTTTTTGTCATCCCCGGCATTGCGCATTTTCAACGTGTATATTGGCGAAACGCCGAGGCCGGTTTTCCATCTATCGGAGGGAACGGCGTCGAGAAGGCGCGCTTGGACGAATTCCTTATCTTGCAAGAGCTCATAGAGGGCGTCCACGAGCAAGTCGAGGTATTTCTCCAAATGGGACACATCGAAGGCAGGCGAGTTTTCCTCTTTCATCTTGGTGCAGAACGTCATCAAGCGTTGGTATAAAGCGCTGTTGCTTGTGAAGAGAGTGAAAAAATCGTTAGGCATGCGCCGCCATAATGGATCACTTTTTTTGGTAGCGCCGGTAGGAGCTGTTGCTGTTTCTCGACCTGCCGCGCCGTTTAGAAGTGCTACACTAGGTCCCTCGGCTTCCTCGGTATCAATTTCGCGACCCTGTTCGACAAGTAGGTCCTCGACCACTCGTCGAATCAGATCCATGAAGTCGCACACCATTGAGCGCACCTCGCCTTTTTTGAACATCTTGCCATTTCGCGTTCTGTACTGCTCTAAATTTCCGGTTTGTGGGAGTTCCCCGTCGTCCTGATGTGGGTAGCTCCCGGTACCTGTCGAAGTTCGCAGGGACACGGGATCCGCAGCGATCATCATAGAAGATGTCGTCGCTCCCTTGCCGAAATCGCTGAGTACCGCATCCCGCAATTGGAGCGATGACATGCCACCGAAGTAAGGCGACGAACCGCTGCCGCAGGCAACATTGATCCCGTACTCAGACTGGAGTTGCTGAGGCGTGACGGCGGATCGATCGTGCTCAACTTCGCTCCAAACTTGCTCACACAGGTCGCAAACGATGTCATCAACACAAGCTGCAACGCGATTCTCAACGTGCTCTTGTAGTTCTTGCGATCGCTGCGTCGGTGATATTGGTGGGGGCTTGATCTCCACGTCGTCTTCTTCGGTTCTCTTTGATGGCTCCACAAGGCTGTGGCTGTCATCATGATCCGCAGGCTCCAATGCGCTTCCGCGTGGCTTTAAGACCAACTCACCCGCTGCACGATCAATCCTTTCATCTTCACCCTTCGTCCCGTCCTCGTTTGACGACGAGCTTTCACCTGTAAGCCCGAGCATTTCGCGCAGTGTCCGGGTTTCTCTGGACGGCACCGGTTGGTGCACGTCCATTCCAATTTGCTGCACGTCATCTTCCATCACGACTTGCAGTTCTTCCGTCTTCTTTCCGAACGGTTTTCCAAGACTAGCCGGTGGCCGTTCTACAGCATCTATCTGAGGTTCAATCCCTTCGCCATCAAGTCCCATGCTTGCCTCGGGAAGAACAGATGCCACGATGACGTCATCGACTACAACAGCCTCGGGAACGACATTGCCAGCATCTAAGCCAGTTAAGTGCTTCTTGCTCGACGATGAACTGCGTGATCTGACCAATGCATCCACTTGCTCGACGCTTTCGCCAAGGACGGACTTTATCGGCGAATCCACTTCGACCCAAAGATCTGCATTCACTTCGAGGTCGTAACCTGCGCTCACATCTAGGTCCTTGATCGAGAACTCGTCTTCGCTAACAGGAGAGGCCTGCCTCGACCTTGCGCCAGGCCCGAAGAAGACGTCCGACGGCGCGACTTTTCCGAGTTCGGACGATTTCACATCGGATGTCCCCGACGCTGCACTTGAAGTCGCATTCGCCGAGGATACGGGCAAAGGCTGCGCTGGCGCGAATTCCAACCCGGTCGATGACTTGCTCGCAAAATCCGTCTTAAAGGGGTCTCCAACTTCTTGTGGCGAAGATGGGGCTACTTCAGCTTCCTGGTCGACCGGTGACGACAAAGATGCAACAGGAGATGGAGATCTCTGCTTGCTTCCAAATAACGTACTACCCGCATTATCCTCCTGTACCTTATTCTTCATGTCTGAAGACTTCTCACTGCTACTAGGAGACTTCAACTTTACCTCTTTTTTCGCAGTTAGCTCGATATCTGGCGAAGACCCTGCTCCTGTTGCCCGAGTCACCACGTTGTACTGCAATTCGACGTCCTCAGCCTCGTCCAGAACGCTGCTCAGATGCTCCGATGGAACCAGACCTGATACAGGACTGCCACCTCTTTCGGAAGACTCAAGAGGCTGGAGGATCGGCACATCGGACGTCTTCTTCTTTTCAGGAGGAGTGGTTGTTCCAATTTCCTTCTTAGAAGTTTCGTCTTCCGTATCCACTCCTACAATAATTTCTAATGGAGGAGAAGTAGACGACTCCTTTACAACAGGCGACGCAACGACGGCAACTCCGCTATACACCTCTTCCTGCTCATCTTTACCAGCTGGAGCTAACGAAGCCTTGGATTTCTTCATCGCGTCTCCGAGGGAGCCAACAGATGATTTGTTGTCGTCGGATGCCGTAAACTCGTCAGAGTAGATCTCCTCAGCGATCTCGGACTCCTCGGCTCGGCTACTTGCTTTATCCACAGCCTTTTCCGCCAATGCTGGTGGCTCTAGAACCTGTGGGAAAAAACTTTGAGTTTGACAAATCAATGATTTACATCAATATCAGCTTGATTGATCATGTGCATGGACATGTTCAACAGACTGTCTACTGAGTACGAGCGAAGCAGCACTAGTCTTTGTGCCGCTCAATCTGATCATGTAACTCTAAGCTAATCATGAATGATAAGCAATAGCTAGACATAGGTATAGCAATCTTCTGCTCTTGTTCTAGGTACCTTCGCCGACTTCTCTTCGGCAGACTTGTCTTTATCGCTTGCTTGCGCGATCTCTTCCGAAGAGAAATTCGGTGGCGTGCTCAGCGGCGATGCGGAAAGCCCGCCAAGTGCACGATCAAGCAGGTCTGCTGCTTGCTTGGCCTCTTGCTCTTCAAGTTTGTGCTCCGCTATGTCCTCGTTTGCTCTTGCGACAACTGATTTCAGTTTCGCACTGTCCTCACTGCTCGATACTTCATGGCTGCTGGACGACGACTGGCTCTTGTCCATGAAGTCCAAATTCAACTTGCCCATGAGACCAACAGCACGTCCACTCACAGTCTTTCCTGCGGATGCCCTGTTCGTGCTAGATTGCTCAGCCACTCGAGCAGGTGCAGCCACGACACTGGCTTTGCTGCTGCTCGTTGATGATGACGTCTCGCCGGCGAAAACCGGTGCTCCTGCTTCAGCACCAGTAAGACCCGTGACACTTGAAGAGAGTCCGACCGCTCCGGTGGGACTGCCGAGCACGTGTCCACCCGCACCTGGGAGGAGCTGGTGGGCTCCTCCTGGCGCGCCCACTAGCCTGCCTGCCTTTGGCACTCGTATGCTGCTCTGTGACAGTTGCTGCATTTGCTTTTCAATGTCGCTGAACTGCATCTTCCGCTGTGCATGAATCTGTTGGCTCTCCTCCCTCTGCTTCTCGATGTCTTTCTGAAGTGACTCCGCCTGCACTCGGATCGATTTCATCTTCTTCTCTACCCACCTTGGACTGCGCAAGTGCTTGACCGCTTTCAACTCCTTTAGCTTCGCTTTCACGCGTTGTTCGAGGGCAGACTTCTGGATGTCGTAGAGCTCATCCTCGATGCGACGTCGGCTCTCCGCCTCCTCGTCTAGCTTTGCTGACAGAACCGAGATGAACTTCGAAAAGTTGTCATTTTCAAGCGACTCGAGATTCGCTCCTGTGCTGGAACTGCTAAGCATGCTGCGCGAGCTATTCGGACGACTGTGGCCGTCGACAAGGAGGTCTCCAGCAAGCTGAAGAGGATGCGAGGTGATAGACTTTGTTTCCTTGAGTGTAAAAAACTTAGAAGGGTCTCCTCGACGTGTTTAAGAGGGCTTCCATCATCTAGGTTTTTGGCAATAGACTGTATCTGGCAATATCTAGTCAAAAACAAAATGGTAATATTGCGTCGTATAATAAGGAGCAAACAGTACCAGCTTGGGATGGCCATCGTGCGACGATGTAAACTCGGAAGCAGGCATAGATGGGATGATCTGTTTGATCATCTTCTTGTGTTTGGAGTGCTTCATGACTAATTTGAGGCGTTCCGAGGATAGCGCTTCGTTCGGCGAGCACAAGTTCAGCGGTGATTCTCCGAGATCTTCGTCGGATATGAGAAGGCCTGCTTCAGTGATTGCGTTGTAAATCTAGATTCTAGAAGAAGTGAAGTTCAAGTTCATGCTAAATGTAAATCACGAACAATTGCTATATTAGAATTAGGAATTTTTTGGCCCGTCACGGGTCGAGTTTCTTGGGTTGCTCGGGTTGCTCGAGTTGCTCACCGTAATTTTTTGCGCGGCGCCCTTCGGGCGCAGCTTTATGAGGCTCCGAGATACCTTAGCAGGAGCGTACGACACTCGACGCCATGCCTCCGATCCCTGGTTTTCTTCTTAATGCGCACCAGAGACGAGAGTGAGTAACCACCTTCAGCTCGGGAACTCCTCCCAGCCACTTGATCAAACACGCAAGGCATCCGCCGCGTGCTCTAGTCTACTTACTTCGTCCTAGGCTGAGTGGGCCGCTCTCCAGAGCAGACGGGAACTCACTGCCACTCCCAGCCCCAAAAGGGACTCATTGGCCGCGCACACATCCGAAGAAAAAAGGGAGAGATTGGCACCGACCCAACGACAAGCCACAGCGACACTCTCCTCCCTCAAACAAAAACCACAACGAGGCGAAGCCGTCGGCCCCTCAATGCCGGCGCTTCAAACGCGCGCCCACACGCTACAAGAGAAAAAGCCGGGGGGGCTCGCTGGGGAGCCCTTCGCAACCGATTGCCCCCTTCGTGAGAGAGCAACAACAAAAGCAGCCACTTCGTCACTCCACGCAGCCAAAACCGTGGCCATACCGCCCCGCTGCGCCGCATTCCGGTGAAGCGGATATCTTGCGGCAACTCGTGGCAACTCGTTCCAGAATTGAAACCCTTCGCTTCGGCAACTCGAGCAACTCGTTGCAACTCGAGTAACTCGAAACCCGATATTTTACTTACTCTAATTTTATATATTAATTTCTAAAGCACAATCACAGACTCCAAGTCACTGTCACCATCACCAAATCGTCTTACCCTACCATACTCATATTGATCCTATGGCACCAGCAAGCAAGCTATCATGAAGAACACCTCTCAAACTCAAAGATGATATTTACCTCCTTTACTGCTCCTCTTACTGCCGGTTCCCGCTCCAGCTGATTGCGATGCGGCATTTGGCGTACTTACGGTTCCCCAGATGTTCGAAGCAGCCGCTGCTTGCTCTGACAGCTGCTTCTTCAGCTGCTCGGTGTCCATGGCCCATTTCTCCATCGTCTCTTGGCGTTCTTTCTTCCATGCCTCCTTCTCCTGTTCCCATTGTTAGAAAAAAGACTGGCACAGCAAAATAAACAAGCGTACTAAGACGTTTCCCTACGGCTACTAATCTACTTTAAGCACAGATGTACATGTTGAGGTCTTCGACTGTAGATTTTTTTTCGCGAAGTTACAGTAAAGGTAAACAACTCCCCCGCATCACCATCATCACTGATTGGTGAAACAGAAATAACGCCAAGATGAACGTTGAATAATCGCCAAGCTCATAACATTGCTTCTTTTCCTTTTCCCAATCGTCTCTCCGCTGGTTTTCCGTTTCCTCAAGTCGTTGCTGCTTTTCCATCAGCTCTCCCCTCTCTTGCTCCAGGGCAGTTTGCACCGTCTGTTGTTCCATCGCGTTCTGGGCAGTCTGCTCCTGGGCTATTCGGATCTCCTCAGTCAACTGGTGTTGAGATTTTCAATGATACGTTGTTATTTGTGACGAAACTTTGAGATTGACTCATTATCACAATAGATCATTAAGAGGATATCAGAGCAAAACATCCATGTTAGATCGACAAACAGTCTGAGTCAGCTATGCTGAAAGCGTGAAAGTAAGACAAAGCTCAGGATCTTCTCAAAAATCGTTTGACAACAAACAAGTTACTATACCTCTTGCAAATGATGTTGTCTGGTCTTTTCAGCGACATCCAGGAAGTCCCGCATAATATTTTCTTGCCCTGTTTGGTGTTCCTGAATCATGGTTTGTTGCATAGCCACTGTTCCTACCAAGTCTGACTGTTGTTCGTACGCCTGTGCTCGTCTCAAAACAAGGTCGTCTGCCATCTTCTCCTGCGTTTCGATGGTATCCATGATCGCGAGGCTACTGCAGAACTGGTCCGCGAGTTCCTCAGGCGAAAAACGCATTTCTTCTCCCAAAGATGCCTGCTTCGACGAAGGATCGAGAATAGTATCTTTGACCATGTCAGTCTCGTCTGCTCCGGAAGCTATTTGCTCAAGAGTTGCGCCAACTTCGCCTAGTGCGTTTACTCCAGTAGCTGTGTCACCGAGGAGTATACCTGTATCCGGCAGTGCCCCTTGTCCCGTGGAAACTCCAAGGGCAGCTAGAGCCTCGTCTATTTGTCCCGTCTGCGTCTTGTCTTGGAATGTCGTAATAGCAGAGTCCACCACACCGGCGAGATCGTCCGCCTGCTTCGCGCGGGCTGACTTCGGAGAGAGAAGCTGCGCGGCTGGTATCACCTCATCTTCGATCCGCTGAAGCGCACTCGCCCTCATACCTCCTGCTGATGTCACGCCTCCCACAGCAACATCCTCAAAAGCTGTGCCATCTGTTCCTAGACCAGTATCGTTAGCATGCTCTGAAGACAGCGGCTGCACGACTGTCACGAGCTGATTCGCGATACCCTCAAAAAACTCGTCAGCGCGAGCCGTGCCTTGTTCTGTCGCGTTGCCTCCGTGGCCATCAGTACGCACCTCCGATACGGCAGACGTCAGTGTCGCCAGTGTGTCCCTGTTTGTACGCGGTCCGTCAGATGTGATTATCAAGTTCAAGATACCTAGTTGTTTACGAAAAACAAAGCAAAGTAAGAATTTTTCCTAGTTACTTGCCATTGAGATTGGCGAATTCTTCTACATCTACGGAACGGTTTCGGATAATTTTTCTGTGTCAGTCAGTGTTTGTGTTTACTGAGGAACATAAAAAGCTAGTAAAATCTACCCGCCGGCTCCGGGAGCGTTTCCAGCTGCCGAAATCGCCTCGGCCGCTTCTGAGCCTGTGATATTGTTTGCCGCCATATTTCCAACTTCACCGGCTAACGGCGCAAGGCGGCGATTCAAGACGTCTACGATGGATAGATCATATTCTTTGTGCAATTGCGAGTACTGCGCGTTTTGTTCCGGGGTCTGCAATTCGTATGCCGGTGGGGTCGTTTGGCCTAAAGGTTGCCACGATTCGCCGCCGCGGGAAGGAGGGCGCTCAACACGACCACGGGTGCCGCCTCGAGAGCCCGGCCGCTCTCGCGACACGGGTCTGTCGCGGCCGCCGCGAGATAGCGGCCGTTCCAGCGCCGCACCGGCAAGATGCTGCTCTGCCAGATGAACCGCGTCCGGTGGGATTGCTGTTTTGTTTGTATTGATTGCGATGGGGAAGCATGAGTTCATCATCGATCTGGCTTACCTACCAAGCATCAGCATGCAACGAATGGTGCCTACCAATGGGTAGAACGATAGAAAAAGCGCACTTTGTTCTTTGTGCTAGTACATAGTTACAGTAAGCAGGCGTTCACATATTCTAATACCACGCCCCGCCGCCGGCTGTTCGTCTGCCTCTGCGCTTTCTACTCCCCGCTCAGCCTGTCGCGCAACGAGATCGGCTGGTTGCCAGGGCTCTTGCCTGCGGTACCCGAAAAGCGCCTCTTCCTGACTGTGCATAAGTGTCCGCGAGGAGGAGGGAAGTTCTTGTGACTGTCGGAATTCGGGATCCTGACGCCGCGCAGACAGCGTTGGGCTTCTCGATCGTCTCGCTGGTGGTGGTGCGCTCGGTGACCGCGAAGGCTCGCTCGGAATGCGACCTTGTCGTGGCGATGCGGTGCTATGTTCGAGCTCGAGTCCCGCGGTGAACCCGCGACCTCGACCTCGAGCCGCGCTTTGGCCAGGACCTCGAGTGGAAGGAGAAGAAGCTGATGCAGCGGCAAGATCACCCCGCTTTGCGGTTCTTCCTAAAACAGGTGAGCTAGTGATGTCATTTTCGCGCGAATCAGTTGCCTGCGCCGCAAGCGCTCGATTCTTCAGGTCAGCAGCGTACGAACCGGATGTCGTGAAGCTAGGAGGTGGTCTTGACGAAATAACGATTGCACTTTCGTGTGCTGCATGACCCAAACCATCGGCGAAGCTGTTCTCCGTAGAGCCCAGAAGTTCACTACGAAGAGTCCTCTCGGCTTCGAGACTCGTTCGCAAGAGCTCAGGCCGTCCGTTGCTCCACATTAAGGGCTTGCTCGGTCGCGCACTTTCGTTGGCGTAAAAGCTTAAAATGTGATTGTGAAAGTCTTTACGCACGTTCACCCCACGCAACCAGGCCTGAATCTTAACTGCAGCATGATCAGGACTCAGCGAAATCTGAAAGTAGCAGAAAGCAAGTTGGTCTTTGTTTCTGTGGCAACTAACTACCAAAAAGTGTGACGAGTGAAGAGAGTGAGGCAAATTATAAAAAGCTGTCGTGAGTTTTATTGAGTAAGTGGGAAAAAAAAATTACCGCTTGCTGTAGGTGTAGTTCTAGTTGCTTCACCGCCTTGGGCTTGAAACCAGCATTATCGTCGGCCTTCGCGGCGCTTTCTTCAACAGGACTCTTTGCTTTTCTTTCCAGCGGTGATGGCTTCTTGGCCATTTGAATCTTCTTTCGCAAAGCCACTGTTTCGGCAGCACTTTCCTCTAGAATCTTGTCTTTGGCCGCTTGCGCCCGCCTCTCCGCTTTCTCCCGCATCCGCTCGGCTAATGAGCGGTTGTCTCCCCGTAGGCTAAGTTGCTCACGCTTGGCTGACGCTGTGCGTGATGCTGGAACAAAAGTGCTACGCTGTGTTTTGTTGGTAGTCTGACTGACTCCGAAAGAAGCAGCAGCATCTTCCGCGGCTAATGGTTCAGCTCCTCCTTCAGCCGATGCTCTAGATTCAGATGATAATAGCGAGTTGAGCTTATGAATGCCCTCGTGTGGACTGCCTGGCGCGTCCAGGCCTCGGCTTCCGGAAATACCTTCGGCAGCTCGTTGAAGGAAGAGGGTATCGGACGCGAAAGAATCCGCACTTCCAAGGTTCGTCTCCTGTCCTCGTGCACCGCTGAACAAAGAGTTGCTACCTGCCTGAATATGTGCACCCCCGAAGAACAAACTGTGCAGATCCTCAACCTGTCCGCCGTCTGGCCCACGAGCAACGTAATCGTCTAGCAGCTCGTCAAAGTTATCCGCAAAATATCGTGGCGCGCTCTCTCGAGGGAGCCGCCCGTGGGCTGTGCCCGGTTGCTGCTGCTGGTTGAAAGCGAAACCCCCCGCAGCGGTCTTCTGGCTGAGGTAGGCAGGAAGCACATCCCCGATGCTCAAACCCTGTGTGGCACCCGGCACCATTCCTGAGGAACCGGGTATCCGCAGGAGCTTCATCGCCGACCTATTGGCGGGTGGTGCAGACTTGTTGCGGCGTCTTTTGTTTTTGGAATTGGCGCTGCTGGTACCGCTATCGAGTCCACGACTAGCCGTTCCTCGAGACGGTCCCCTGATAATGTTGGTTGAGTGTCAGCATAAATCCATGTTACAAGACGAGATATTTCCTTTTTAGCAGAAACATAAATCTCTATCTCTACCTTCTCGGAAATAAAATGTACCAACTGGCACCACTGGAGAACGGGTGATTTTCATATCAACTAAAAAAGCGTCTGCTATATTGTTTTAAATGCCCTCGTCTAGAGTCTGACCAAAATACCTCTCAACTGCCGGTCCTACAGATTCATCACGCCGCTGTCCCCTACCCTTGTTCTGCTTCATTCTGGCAGCGAGACCAGAATCGAGAAGCCCTCCAGAGCTGGAAGGAGCAAGCCCCTGTCTTTGCGACTTCGAGGAGGCTGGCCTGCTCGCGGCTGACGGTGCCTGCACCTGCGGAATCTTGACCACGGGAGTGCTTGCTCCGGCTCCGCGAGCAGGAGCAGTCGACGATAGTACTACGTCAGCAAGAGCGACCAGGTCCTCCGCTCCCGATCCGCTTTCACCTGGAGACTTCTCTATGATCCTTTCTTCAGGTACAAACTCGGTTTTTTCTGCTCCCTTGGCTCGTGTCGCCTCGCTCCGGACAGCAGCCGGGCCTGGTGCAGTGGAACTGGAGGACATTTGTGTCTTCATATTCTTCGCTGGACTTGACGATGCGGCTCCACCTGCTTGCGACGCGTCGCCGGGAGCTTGTTGCGTGGTTCCGGGGGCAGCAGCTACGGCTGTTGTCGCACCAGGAGCGGTCTTCTTGTAGAGTGCCTCGAGTTTTTTCAACTGCTCCTGCTTCTTACGCTCCTTTTCGTCCTCGGCAGCTTTTCTTTCTTGCTCACGCCGGTTCCATTCCGAGAGATTCGCCTTCGCCTGTTTCTGACTGTATTTCGGCACGCGCTGTCTGCCGTCTGCCGCTGCTGGAGTGTTGTCTCCAGCGTCCTTTCCTGCCGCTCCCGGTGCAGCAGTACCAGAAGAACCACCTGCAGCCGCCTCGCGCTGTCGTGCAAGCTCCTCCTGTTTCTTCTTGTAGGCCGCGAGGTTTGCTTTCGCTTGTTTCTGGCTATACCATCCAGTATAGGCGTGCTTTTTGTGTTCAGCAGATGTGGTGGACTCGTCACCGGCTTTACCAGTTTCTTCGATTCCGTGCTTTGGTGTGGCAACATCAACTACGGCTGATTGCCTTTGCTGTGTCCCAGAACCGGCGTACGATCCTCCTGCGGCATCAGCAGAAGATGCTTCCTGCGTCTTTGCGGCTGGCTGTTCACGAGCAGACCGACCGGGTACTGGTGGCACACCAGCGCCAGGTGACCGCCGCCGAGTCGCAGCGGTGGAGGCTGCGCTACTTGCAGACGGTGTGCCCTCGTCAGCAGCGCCACCGGATCCCATCGCACCAGCCTGGCTTGCCGGACGAAGCACCGGTGGCTTTTTTGTGGGAGCCGTTTTGGCTTTGTTGGCGCCACCGACTCGAGACTCCTGGGAAGGAGCTCGCCGCTTTCCATCGGCAGATGCGGTTCGAAATTTGGCGGAAGCGCTGCTTGTTGAATGCGTGCTTCCACCACCTACGACGCCCCGCGCTGACGCTCGTGTTGCTGCGCCAAGGCGCGTTCCAACGCCTGTTGTTGGTGTTGATGACGCTACACCGCTAGCTACCTGGGGAGGGACAGCAGTTCCCGTCGTGCCCCCTCTACCGCTACCTTGGCTTTTCTCCGGACTTCTGCTGGCAACTCGCCGACGAGTCGGGGTGCGCATCTTTTCATTGCCGCTGCCTCCGCCACCACCTGGTGTGCTACTCACCTTACTAGTATTTGCGACGTTGCGCTCCTGGAGAATCGCATTTATCTCCCCCTTGAGGCTATTCAAAAGCGGCTGCGTTTGTCCGAGGCGCTCTCGTACACGAAGGCCGCGCGCTTCAAGACGCTCTGAAACGTCGGCTGTGGGTGTCTTCGCTGGTGACCCTGAGCGCGAACGCGGCCGATTGTTCACGCCATCGAAAATTTGAAGGGTCTGGGCCGTTGACGCTGAAGCGGATGTTGTTCCAGCATCCCGGTTTGCGCTTAAGGTATCTCTCCGAATAGCACTCAAGGTCTCTTGGATGAACCGCGGAGGCGAAAGTGACGCATCGAGGGCGCAGGATAACAGATTATCGGAAGGCGCCTCTTCTCGCGTCATCCGATCGCCATCTGCTTTGGCACTCAAGGCATGTATGCCAGGAGCCCCGTCTGAAGCACCGGGTTTCTCGCCCTTCTCCCGCCCAAGACCGAGGCGTTCAGCCAACGGCTTTGTGGCTTTTGCACGTCGCACAACGATGCCATCTGCTTCCCCCGCTGCGCCGGCTCCTGCGGCATCACGAGCAGCACCACCGGGGCTTTTTGTTCCTGCGACCACCGCGCTGCTATCCTGTTCTGTGCGTTTAGCTCCACTAGATGACACCGCCTTGTTATTGTCCATCGAAGATGATGCGGAGAAGGAAGGTGGCTTCACCACAATTCCTCCAGCTTTTGCATCATCATTTGCAAGCTGCAGCCCCGCCTTCTTTGAAAGGTTGGTAGATGCTTCCCCAAAGCCTGGCTTTTCGCCTGCCGCAGAGGGACGCGAGCTGCGCGGTGCTGCGGATGGCAGGGGCGGAGTCACCAGCTCAGCTTCAAGTGCGCCGCCAGCTAAAGACTGCCTGCCATTCGTGAGAGATTCGCGATCGCATACTGACATCGAGGATGCTCCAGTTGGGGGGCCGAGATCTCTCCGTCTCAGCGGATGATTCGTGTCATCATCTTCCGGACTGCGAGCGCTGCAACTTCCGAGGGACGGCACAGGGATCTTCGTCGCCGACGCTGCTGCTCTTGACATCACGCCGCGAGATAGAGGTTCCCCCGCCGCTACTAACCGCACCTGGTCTGCGCGAGCGCGCTTGATCCCTGAAATTGTACTTGTTCCTGAAGTTTGAAGGACACTGCTGCTACTGCTCGCATCACCGTAGAACAGCGCCGCCGCAGCCGTTCGCGCGGAAGGGGCTGCAGCGTAATTACTAGTGTTGGCAATAGGTGGCCTACTAGCCTTTGCATTGCGGAAGAGTGGAGGCTCTAGGGACACACTGCCTCCACGACTTTTGCTTGCTCTCTTGGCCAGCCCGAGCTCTTGTTCGGCAGTGCCTGGTCTCCGTAACGATGCCGAAGATGCGCCGTTGCCTACAGAAGAGGGTGGATCAACTTTAGTCGTAAACTTGATCTTCTTCGCCTTAGCTTCCTGGAACGTAAAGCGAGGTGCGGCGCTGCTTCCTGTCGAGGCGGACGGCCCCGCAGTGCGCGCCGACATCGTCTGGTGGTGAGCTCTAGTGCTTCCCAAAGTTGTGCGTTGCGATGAGCTTCCAGATACTGCCGAGCCAGTGGGATAGGTTGACTTGACGGTCGTCACAGAGCGCAACGTGGATGCTGTTCCTCGGCTGAGTGATAATATGATGTGAAGTAAATCTGACACGCTGCAGCTCTACTTAGTACACACGTAGAAGTCTATTTTTCTGTTCCTTTCATCTTTTGATGTAAAGGCGACTTTGCATTGCAGGTAGTTGATCAAGATTTGTAATCGTTAGCGGGGACTTGGAAGGACGCGAAGAGCAGGAAGTAGCCTTTTCATAGTTTCACTCATATATTCTATATCAAAATGTACATGTAGTATGCTTATACTGTGTGAGCCTCGAGTCGCGTTCTTCGACGGCTGGCATTGTCTGGCTGTCGCCTTCGTGAAAGGCGCGTCGGGCTCTGCTTCGCGCAGCTGCAACTGAGTGCGCCACACCCAGATCGACTGGTATGGGCTTAGTATTCAAATCCACCGGTTGATTTGACGAGAGGAGGTGCGACGGCGTCGCTCCGGTGCCCACGCTACTCACGGCTTGTGGCACCGTTGAGGTTGACAAGAAGCTTGGCTGTGCATGCCCCGAAGACGCAGTCGGCCCCAGCTTGTAAGCCGGCAAAGCTCCCCGATCGAAGCTTCTCTCGGACAGCAAGGCACTCAGGTCGACGTCGCGGCTCGAGGTAGGCGGCTGGGTCGTTCTTGGTTCAGGGTGGTCCATAAATTTTCGAGCTACAAACCTCGCTGTTGGCGTCACGCTAGACGTAATGACATGCTTTATCGGTGCACCGTGCTGTTGAGTAGCGTTGGTCCCCACCGGCGGTGCGGCTGCTCCCACCGGTGCCTGCAATTGCTGGTGCCGCGCTGATCTCGAGGAAGCCAACGCGCCATCGACATCGACGAAGGAGCTGCTAGCGCTACCCGGAGCGCTAAGTATAGGCACAGGTCGCGCACTTGCGAGCACTACGCTTGGAGCTGCCGGCACACTTGCAACTACACCTGGAGTCGCAAACGGTCCTCCAGCTGTCGAAGAGGATGACTCACCACTGCCACTTACTACAGTGCTGACAGGCATTGCCGTCGGGGCGGGAAGGCCGTCGGCAAGCGGTCCACACGTGACGACGGCTCCAGCCTTGTCTACACGTTTGCATGTCACGCCTCCCAACCGGGCGCCGCTTCCAAGACCCATAGCCGCTGGCGTGTTCCCAGAATTGGTCGGCTGCATTGTTTCGAGCAAGCCGCACGTAGATGAAAAGCAACGTCGACGTTAAGGCTGTATTTTCGGGTTGCACCCGCTTAGGCTTAATAAACCAGTCGTTGACCACCGCCGCGTTCAGCTGATTCCAGCAACGAACTGGTGAGGACAACACGTCGTAGTAGACCGTACACGACCCAGATTTCGCCATGCGTTCCTTCTCGAGAGACCTACCATTTCTCTCTCTTCCTCCCTAAGCCTAACTTGCTGCATCGGAGCAAGATTTTAGATGCTTCTCTTCATCATCATAGAGATGGACTTTGATCTAGACTAACACCTTTGCCGTCGCTCGCGTATCCATATCATTTCGTCAAGAATAAAGAGGCCTCCGCGTTCTTCTAAACCATTCTGCCTAATCATAATCATCACTTCAACAACATCAGACTCTCCAGAACGCTTTCAAGGTTACATGAGTTGCTCCTCTCGAGTGCGAGGGACACTCTATAGACGTAGACTATGACTAAGCCTAGAATTCTTTCACTTTCATTTTCAATTTCATGTGAATCCTCTTAGTGAATACTAGCCTACACAGTACACTTCTACCACAACCTAAACTAGCGGTCCATCTCAACGTTTCTCGTTTTCCATTGCTTGCACTTTCATGAAGCATTTATCAATGTTCTGTGTTGTCTTGTCGGACATGGCAATCAAGCCAGTGAGTGACGATGACGATGACCGATCTTGTTCTTTATGCGGAGCAAAGATACGATTTGCCGCAAAAAGCTAACGGAAAGCTGAACACCTCCTGCGGGTGCGGTCTGAACAGAGTTATAATTTCCTAACTTGTCCATATCCTCGATGTTGGCAACGTGGTCGAGAAATTTTCTGTTCATTTTTTCAGTCGTTGCGTCTCTGCCTGGCGGCCACCCAAGTGCAAGCGGAAACTTCGTACCTACCATGATAGATTGTGAATGTCTCGATCTACTTCGACCTCGGTAGTTATATCAAAGTCAAGCGCTAGCTCAAGTACAAGCACATAATTGATTAGTTATGTTGCGCCAGCTTTTCTCATGTCCCAGCCTCAATCATTTGTAATTGTTAACTCAGCCATTTCAAGCTTTTTCAAAAAAATGCACATGCTGGTGTCATTTTTTCAGTTTGTTATATCAGACCCGCGTCCGCCTTGCCGAGTCCTGTAGTAGTTGTTGGACAGCTCTATGCTATGCTAGGGTCAAGTTCGCGCAAATGGTTCGGCCTCCAAGGGGCTAAAAGCACATGATGCACGGCGGTGTCTATCGATATTCTGGCGCCATGCTTGGCGAGATAAAGCGCCTACATGCAATACGTCGGTGTCTTCCTGATCGCAAGTTTTACTTTGGTGCGCTTTCTACCGTCAAGAATCACACTTGAGGGGTCGGCACAGAGCGCGCGAGCGTAACACGAAGACTATCTGGTCTGCTAATGGCGTCTCGAGTGGGAAATTTGAAGTCTTTTCGGCTTGCCACGCGTGCTGCACCAGCCGCAGTCGCGAAAGTTATGCGGAAATATCGAACAACGTTCATATCTTCCTCCTTCTTCTTCGAACTTGTGGACTCAACAGGTTCCTTGTCCTCATCTTCAAAAGCGTAGAAAGAGCTTCTCGACGTCCCTGAACGGCTTGCTCCACCTTGTTGCCTTTCATCGACGTGGTCATGATCATGTACGTGCTCCTCCCTAACACAAACCACAGGTTCCAGCATAGAGAAAAACGCGCCGACTGCGTTAGCCGCTGGATAGCGCTCCGAACGGGTCCCGCGCTCCGAACGCAGACACACAATGACTGAACTTCCAGGTCGAGAGGTTGCCATGATTTTTCAATGCTGTCAACGCCTACGCGTGTCAAGAGCGACAGATAATATTCTACGAAAAGAAGTGCGTGATTCTTCACCCTCAAAATAATTTCGTCGGATGAATTTCTTTATTGCTGCAAACATCCAAAAGTAAAAAGTTACAGTGACGACAGTGGGCTCCAGGTTGATGTCGGGCGGGATTTGAGCGCGAGCGTGAAGATAGATTTTAAGCATATATACCGCGAACGAGGGCGCATATTGGTGGCTCGTCGTCGAAACTGCAGCCGCGCACCCCTCCACAAACGTTTTGGGCCCAGCATGTGCGGCGCCAGATGTCGCCCCCAAGCGTAAGGCCGGCGCGGTGGATTGCGTGCCGATCTTAAGGGAAAGCACGGCTCGAGGTGCGTATGATCGGCCTAGAGTAGATCTGTGGTATACTCAGAGGACCCCCTCAGTACAACCAGGAGTCGTCGTGACACATTTTTTTAGTGCGACTTCACGCACATCATCTTCCAATGTCTGTTTCACGACTTACGTGTTCATCTCCCAATCCCATTCAAAATTATTGTAGTAAATTCGTCGTGGTCGTGAAAGTGAACATAATTTCGGTGTAGGCATTGGCCCAACGTCTTCTATGTCAATTGTACTATATCTATATGCCGGGCGATGTGGATATTGTTCGCATTTTTTGTACAAAATCCATTTGGATCCAATACAGTCTTGTTACGACAAGCAAAACTAGAAAACGGTGCACCGAAATAAGCGCGGGCGCAGCACCTAGTAATGTCTGTGTCTCTAACTTCTATTATGTGAGTTCGGCGTGGTCGCAAGAACTGGGGCATCGGGTCGGTTCATATTCTAAGTTCTCGAATGGGGCGCAACGTTATGACAACAAAGTAGAGCAGTACTTTTACCTTCGACAGAGTGATTTCAAATTAAGTACGAAGTCGTCTAAATTGCTCGTTCGCTGGAAAAGAAAGTAACACTCCACCACATGCCCCCGTGTACTTGGATCCTCGAGTCGCCGCCCTGTGATGATGAAGAAAAAAATCAAAGGCAACTGAATCTGAACTTGCACTACACAATTATCACTATATTGCGTTAGATAGCAGCCATGTACGTAGAGTTAAACTCTTGCTCGTTCCTTACAAAGAAAAAAAAAGAGACATCCGATGATGTTGAAGTAGTCACGATAACTACAGACCCTAGCAAAGGCGATAGGCGTACCAAGCTTTTCCGCTTCGAGTGGCTCTAAAAATGAGTCATTCCGCAATGCTGACAAGAGTGAGCCAAGATGCGTTCGCAACAGAAAATCGTGCAACCTAATGAAAGCAGACGTTTTCGGCTCCCTTGCCCGTGTCGAGCCCGAGCTTCCACCATACTGCTGCGAAGACAAGGATGGCGGCGCAGCTGCTGCCGCGCGTGAGGAAGTAGCAGTCGAGGATCCTAGTTTATTATTATTTTGTCTCTGCATGTGATTGGAAGTGCCATCGAAACTGCTAGCATTTGTGGTACCACCTCCAACAGGTCGGGTACTGGTTGGTCGTGGTGTCTCGAATGTGCCACGTTCACTCAGATCAGGACTCGATCGTGGTAGAGATGGCGCAGACGTTGACGGCGCGCCTGGGATAAAGAGGACATCTATATTCCAACAACAAATACTACAACATGCAAAATTATGAAGGACATTGAGTTTTACACTACAACTCAATGTTGACAAGATAAATTTTTGGTAATAACAATATCGATATGTATAAATATGATAATTTTTTGTAATAATTTTTCGTTGCAAGTGACAACACAAATCCACGCAGGAGTGATCAAAAAGAAATACTTGTTTCTGCCTGCGAATAACATGGTTCGGCCCAATCGGCCCGCCCTCCCCTCTGCACAGGACTTGCTCCTCGCGGCGATGGTCTCAAGTAGGTATTGTGGTGCTTTCCTCTTGATGCGGCGCGCGATGCACTGACGTCTCTTGGCGTTCCCCCTCGTCCGCGGGGAGTGTATCTTGCGCAGTACGTGCGACTCGAGATGGTCTTCTGCTCGGTTCGAAGCTGCGGCGCAAACGACATGTAATTACACCGGTTTCCCGTTCGAGCGTACGTCGCGTACACCTCGCCGAATGTCGAACCCTTTTGCTCCTCGACATACATCTTCTTCAAGTCTAGGAAGTGAAGTGTTTCCTTGTGCGTTCCTTTCGGATGATGAAGTAGATCTACAGAAAACGCTTGTCACTCCTGTTTCAACTTCAGCTTGGAAAGTCGCTCTTTTCCACTTCCTCCACACTCGGGACTCTCTAAATGAGTGTTGCCTTGATGCCGCTTTTTGATTGTTCTTATTCATTGACTCACGTCCGTCCCGTTCTACTTTTAGGACGTTTGCGAAAAAAATAAAGTAGCCTCAGTGGTCCAAATCTAGTTAGAGACCGCAGCTGCTGCTAGTGGCAGATCGCTTTTGGAAGATTCAATCATATCCGCGCTCACTCTCTTTAGCTGTCTTCTTCATCACCACTTCTCAAGAAAGAATGAGTTTTGAACCGAAGCCAGCGCCTCAAAAAAAAAAACTGCCTATGAGAATGTTGCTGTCGACCCTGCCGCGTTTGAGGGAATGTAAGTCGGAGCAGGGAAATAAAGTTGTACGACCACCTCTCGTCCAAGACTGAGAAGACTGACATGTGGTTCCTAACTGCCAGAACGACCATAAACTAAAGAGCAACAAAAATAAAAAAACTCTATATCTATCAATAGTGTGTCACAAGAAAATAGGAGGCGTCTAGCTCCTGCTCCGCGTCGAGATTGCAGCAAATCAGAGTACTCCTTTGTCATTCTCTGAAATAGCACCTCTGCGAGCAGCCGATTCAACTGAGTTTGGACGGCGCTGGAACGCATTCGACGCCGTGACAATTCGACGCCGTGACATTCGGAGCGCGCTTTATCAAAGGCGGCGTTGTCCTCTCATGAAAGCACTCAGTCGGCACATTTTTGCGCGCGAGCACGCAGCGCGACGACCGGCGACAATCAAGTACCTGCATGATGATCTGGCGGCAAGACGCGAAGTAGAGGGAGCAAGATCGCGTTCGTACTACAACTACTAAGGGCAATGAAAATGAAGCCGTGGCCCCGGGCTCCTTTTGCCTACGCGGTAACAAAATGTTCTTGCGGATGCTCTTCACTAGCCAACTGGTCCGAAAGAGTCGTGGCCTCACAACATGCGAAATGGTGCCGGCGCTGGGAATAAGTTCCCGCACTGTATCATCGCAGCGACGAGATGCATGCCAGCGAGCTGCTTCTCAGGAATGGCGAAACCAAGCCTGGTCATCGTAGTAGTTTTAGTGTTGAAGTTGATACGCGAGTTTTGTTCTGCGATCCTCGACATAATCTACTATTAAAGCGATGATACTCATGAATCACAACACTTAACAAAGCACCAACGGAAAAAACACCTGAGGGCCTGGGCCCCTTCAACATTCTGTACAGCAATAGTACCCGACTCTCGCTGGCACAGCCATATCGCAGAGATGAACAAGTATCGTGCGCAAGAGAAGATTTCGGACGTGTCTCCGCTGTTCCGGAGTCAAATCGGCATTGTCACAGTAGAGACGACGCAACTTCAGGACCTCCGTCATAATTCCGAATACACAGGCAGCACCCCACAACTGCGCGCTTCGCATCGCTTGTGGCTGCCACGGACCTTGAAGCACCCTAATTTTCCGCAGAATCGTTCGGTTTTCACTCGTCCAGCGGAGCGCGAAAAACATACGAGAGATCGCATGACAGTAGCTGTTGCGTTTCTTAGATCTCCATACGAAATGAATCTTTATTATCTTACTTGTAATTGTATCATGTGTCTAAGGAGGAACAATTTCTTGCTATGTAGCCTACTCGTTCGACAATACTTGTTGAAGTAGTGCGTCAACAGATTCTTGACCGAAGAGAATGTTGTAGTTGTTGTACTACTGTGGTCTTGGTCAATGTAGTAGAAGTAGTACCAAACCTCTTTTGGTAGCTGATGCATGTTCGCGAGTGTCGCTTGGACGGTCTTCAGCTCTAGCATGGATTTTCCGAACCAGGACATACGACGCGCATCAAGCATGGCTTTCCAGAACCTCTCCAATCGCATCCAGATATTCGAATTGAACGTTTTTAGAGCTTGTTAGAAATCACAATCATGTGCTTTTTCAATCTTATACTAGAAGTAGAAAGAGTAAGAGCTGGCTGCAACTGCATCACGAGGGAATCAGAAAAGTGAGAGCGAATATCATTTACATTTTCTTCAGTACGCGATCCCAGAGAATGAAGCAGTGCGTTTGCCTTACCATCGGAGGACTGCGTAGATTTATCTGAGTAGAAGCCTTAACATTTTTTTCTCGCGAGCCATGGCAACGGTAAGTCTCGCTAGGAACTGCAGCACCTTACTGAATTTGTCTCGACCTTCTGATTTACTAAGGAAATCCAGAAAACGATCTCGCCCGCGCTGAAAACTGGCGAAAGCACGCCGCGACGAGCCTGACGAGGACGCGTTGACGGACAGCATGTTGGTTCTACAACCTATTCTTTGTCCGAAATAGAAGAGTCGAGGTGCTGAAAAAGAGAATTATCGGAAGGACAAGGCTGAGGGACGCAAATGAGTCATCAAACCAAAAACTCTGGCACAGAAACCAGGCAAGTAGCTACAGCAGAAGGTTGGTATGATGCTGCAGGCATGACAGGTGAGTGTCAGACCCCTAGTAGAGGCAAATCACTTGGTGTCGCAGCCTTGGACAGCAGTCGTTGTAGCATACCCACTTTAGGGGTGTAAGGCGTGTCATGACTCACCGCTCAATAGCCTGGGGCTTCCTCGCACGTTGTGTTTCATTCGACTGCGGTCTGCGGTGCACCACGTGAGGCTTACTTTGTGTGGCACCTACCGTATGTTCTTAATATGGTTATCAGAGACTTCAAATAGATTAATGTACTTTAGCGCACCGTCAATTCGTCGTCGGTCGTTTTTTCTTTTTCGAACTTTCTCGTTGTTTCTACTTTTTGCCTACTCGAAAAACTGAAATTGCGAGTTTAACAGATAATAACTGCGCGAGAGGTCACTCTTGCAGCGTGCAGCTGATCCCCGAAGCGCCACGAGCCTGAAGCACTTCACGCGCCTGCTTCCAATGTTCTATCGATCCTCCACAGGGCCACGCATAAGAGCCAGGGCACCCCTCAAACCTGCGCTCAGTGCTCTACTCTCGGATCGCGATAGCACTGCCCTCCCCCGAGAGGCACAATATATAATGGCCACCCCGTCGAAGACTGAGCTACAAACCTGTAGAAAAAGAAGGCCACAGGAGAAAGCCACGCTTTTGCAGCTGCAAATTTCGGGGAGAGACATGCCTCTGGCGCGCCCCCATGGATACCCGCTGCGCAATCCCCAAATTTCTGCAAAGAATTTGATGGCCTGCCTGGAGCAGTGCAGGCTGCAGTGAGAGAAGCGGCTCTGGTGCCGGAGTTCACAACGAGAAAGGCCGGGCGTCAATCACTCCAGGCAGGCTCCTGGAGTACTAGCTGAAGCCCGTGAAAAGTGGAGCGAGTGTAGCCACAGCAGCAGCCGCCTCGCGCATATTTTTAAGTTTACTCGGTTACTTCAAGTTTACGAGTAGATTCAACACCATTTCGCTTTTATTCTAATTAGTGCTTGTGATCCAGTATTACACTCTCCAAGAACCTGCAGTACGATACCCGACCACTTTACAGTAACTGTTCATCTTGGTCACATTACCACTACCTCTGAGGTCCGTTATCCAACATTTTCCATGCTCCGTTAGTTTACACCTAACTGTGCTCAGTCCACCGACGAAAATCGCGGGTCATAGAACATTATGCCTTGCTGCCCTGTGTCGGTGTCCAAGACATCAGATTCCCCTACTACACCACACACTGGGTAAACCTCCTGTGTGTGCACCTGTGCCGCGGGATCTCTTTGAAGATATGTCGTTGACGCGACATCAACTACAGGCAGGACGAAACGCATGAGGGTTGGACGCGCCTGCCCTCCGTGCTTCCCCGGCTGCGTAGCCAGCATGAGCACGTAGCTTATGTTTCTCGCCTTACAAAGTGGATCAATGTGCTTCCCAACCGCTGCCACCGTCAAATTGCGCGCTAGCTCGATGCCCCAGATCAGTAACATGAAGCATCCAATCGGCCAAAAAACAAACATGGGTATCCACAGGACGATGTGCCACGGCCTGAAACCCGTCGCATCCCGCAGAGACGCGTTGATTCGCTCAAACATTTTGACAGACTCAACAGGTGCCATCAAGCGCCGTATATCCGCTGGCAGCATCTCGCGTCGCTCATACGCGGTGAAAAGCGAGTCTGGAGCACAGCTGTCGGAGGGGATGTCAACGGCTGTGCCAGCGGGTGCCTGGACGTGACCGCACTGTAGGATACCGCTTGCGGCAAGGCGGCTCTGCTGCAAGATGCAGTACAACATGCCGCCCATTGGTCCGATGTAGAGCGTAAGAAGGGCCAGAACGATGAGGACGATAACAAGGGTCGAAATCGTGGCCGCTTCGTGGCATTCGTACGCCAGGCATGCATGCGCGTCGCACCATGCATGACCGTGGCCGCACAATCCCTGATTCACTTTTTCGTAGCCCTCTGCGCAGTGGCCATCCTGTACGCCAGGACAGCAGTCGCTCGTGCCGTCAGACTCTCGGCACTGCTCCGGGTGATGTCTTCCGATGGCGCTGAAGAAGCCTGTGGCGTAGGAGCGGCGGCTGGTTGGACGACCTGCATATCCATCAAGTAGCCTCCGGGGCAGGAGTGGCATTGTGTGCAGTCGTACAACATTCGAGTAAGGTAGTCGCATGCTTCGCCAGTGGCGTGCTGCGGTTGCCCGACTTCGGCGCAGGTTTTCGTCTCACCATGCCCGACGCGCGCGATTTGCGCTTTTGTTACAGCGGAAGAAAGCAGACTCAATAAGAGCTGCAGTGTGACGATCAAGAAACGGCGAGTGGCCAACATGAAATATCGGTTATGCCATGCACTCCTTTCTTCTGCTATCTAAATGCCGTATAAACATCATAGACAACGATAATGAATAGGCGTCCAAAGAGAAATGAAGCCAAACTTTATTATGCAACCTTATAATACTAGTACTAGAAGAACTACATAATCAGCTCAGCTTACACTTTGGATCTCTCGAGCCAAAACCTTCTTTGCTTAGTAATCTGGTTCTGACATTTTTTCCTAGTTCTACACCAGTATGATATTTATATAATCCAATTTGGTTCTGTCTTGATCTGGTTTCTCTTTGACTTTGCATACTACTCTCCATACTTTCGACTACCCCCACACTCACTCATTTTCATAGAACAATATGAACTTCCTTCACTTCGTGTCGGACGGCGACGGTCTAACTACAACCTCCTGAGCGGCCTGGCTTATTAGTAATTGAGTTTTCAGATCCTCTGTTTTCTTCACTAAGACTAGCACCCCCATCTACGATCCAAAGCGCTTGGGAACAGGAGAAACGTGCAGGAACATCGTGGTAAGCAAGCGTGTTTATCTACTTCATGAAGTCTGGGATCTATCAATGATGAACAGTATTGAATTATTCGCTGACACGGGCCTTATCTACCGACAACCATGAAAAGAAACTGAAAAAAATATTCTTAATTGGGTGTCACCAGCCACTCTTTTTCCTACATCTCCTATGTCGCTACTTTACGGATCAGAGCAATACTGAACATCAAGCCACTGCAATTCACAGCAAGCCTTTGAAGGCGTTTCGGTCTCGGAAACGCGAACGAAGAAAGAGAGATTTTTACCAGCAAATACACATTTCTTAAAACTAACTAAGTATCAACAGGAGCTTGTAAGAATCAAGTACAATAACATGGATAATATCGAATTCGAAGTCGATTTGTTCGAGTTTGAAGTCTAATACGATTTACGACTACGCTTCAACTATGCCATAAAGTGCAGTCCCTTTCTACTGCCTCTGAGCAACACTTAGACCACGAAGCGTAACCGAAATTCTTCAACATCATGCGAGTTTTCATACGCACCATTTTTGCTCTACCCACAATTTTTGCTTCTTTGGGCTTCATGTTCATCGACTACTTCAACCTTTTGTTAAACACAGTAGACCTTGTCGTTCACCTCATCAGCAGCCCGCTTCAGCAATGTAAAAACCAAAACGCAGGTTGCTATTATTTGCCGGCTCTTCGAGATTCAGAATTCCGCTCCACGTAGAGGGTACTGGGTCGAGAATGCGAATGGAAACGGATGTGTCTGTGTATTCTCGAACATATTTATTTGGCTCCCAGACGATGTGGTAGTAGTCTTCGATAATGTCAGCGGGTCGGTTCCCTACATGTATGTTTCCCCATGCGAGTAGCTGCGCAACAATGTCGTGGCGGTCGTCATGTTCACACTGCTGGAAATAGAGATAGTCTTTCCACTCTTTTTTCCAGTTGCGACATTCAACATCCACGTGCCTGACAGGAATGACATGTGAGCCACCCTCTCTTTTACCTTCCAAAGATGATCCGTTTTGTTGAAGTTCTTGCTGAAGGATGAGACGCACAGCGGCCATTAATTTCAACTGGCTTTCGTGCATCTTGTAATGAGGTATCTGGAGGTGCAACCGGCTTACAGAATCCGAGCTTCCGCAAATGAGAAATGACTCTGGTGAATTGAAGAAAACAGAAAATCCTAGCTCTCGCGGCTGCCAATGCCGTTCATGTACCAAGTGCGATATTGGCCCATGTACGACGTAAAGAAAGGGTTATTGCGTGAGAACTGCACTTCTCCAATTCTCCGGTGGGGGCTGAAAGCTTCCGTTTTCTGAATAACCTCGCTTATCTTCAACAATTAGGTAAAAAACAAGGAAAACAACTGCATTTTTTTTTGCTTGATTCTTGATGCGGTAAAGCGTCTCCCGATGCCAGCGTCTCTGCGTATCTCTATCATCCGCAAATCGCTTCTGCTGCTTCAAGAAAGGTGCAAGAATGGGCGCTCTATTTTCGGTCTGCGTACACTTGTCCTCAACTGCCGGCGTAGTGGTGGCATCTTCATCAGGAAGAGTACCTCCGTCTCCAGTTGCCGACGATGCACCTGTGGAGTGAGAAGGATCCTGAGAAGTGGATGAAGACCTACTCGAGGTGGCATGATGTCGTCCTTAAGAAGAGAATCCTGAAGATCTACGTCCAGGAGAATACGGATGCAACCGTCTGTGCTTGCAAGTACTTAAAACTAAAGACGTCCATCATTCGCCCCCACAACTTCTTTCCTCCAGAGTGGGCTGCCACAGCGTGCCTCGCAGGTACTCTATGGCCCTCTGGCAGCGGAGAAATGGTGTCAGTGTCACTCGACGCCTTCAAGCGTCTCGACAAAGCCTCCAAACCTTCGGAGTCGACAACTTTTTGCAGCTCTGGCAATGTTTCCTTTTGGCAGTTCCAGTAGTCCACATAGCTCGGCGAAGTCAAAACTTCCTTCACATCCAGGTCTCGCAAGTCACCGCTTCCGGTGGGTCATATCGGGGTAAATCATCTTCCACGTCATTGCGCGGAGCTGCATACGCGCCAGATGCAAGTATGATGCCGCAAGTCAGCAACAGTTTCATCTTGAGTCGTGACTGCATTTCTTCGAGCACCATCATCTTCCTATTGAGGTGAAGAATTCTTGATCTTGACTCACGACTAGCTCCTTATCAAAAATAAAAACGAATATCAAGGATGTTGTTTATGAGATAAACAGCCGAAGTTTTTGCTTTTTCTTCTAGCTACTTCTAGGAATTATACTGATGTTTGCTGTATCTGTATCAAAATTTACATACGTTCGACGATGACTGTCCCTGTAAAGATGTGACTGAAAGAATGCACCCACTAGTAACCTACCCACTTGTGGGGTATATCAGTTGAAACTGCGATCTTCTAGAATGTTCCGCGATGACCCTCGTGCGCGCGCATTATATCTATCGTCTATAATCCAGCTTTTTACGCGAGATCTTCGGGACCACCAGCCACTCATGTTTGTGGGTCACTGTCCACTTTTGCTTTCTCTGCAGAAAGTGAGGATTTCATAGCGTTCACAGAAAATGGTAACTCCCACAGTCAAATTCTGCTGCTGCTCCTTCATATGCGACTTGACTTCAAAAGATGAATCTCTGATGATGAAAAAATCACCAAAATAACCTCTAACGCTGACGCTGAACACTTGTACGGCGGATTTTCTTGGCCTACGTGCACGTGGTCGACGTCGATCGTATTTTGTCGTTGTCCCTTGTTTTTGTTTTTCCTATCACTATCTTCGCTTTTATGGGATTACACCACGTTGTGTAGTTGAACGTGTCAGAAGGAGATGATTGGTGTCCTCAATAGGGAAAAAATGATCATCGCCTCTTCTTCGCCCTCGACCCCCAGTCGGGCGCTCCACAACCAGCCGAGTGACAAGATAGGGACTCACACGGTTGTCGTCTACATCAAGGTCAACATCTTCATAACGATAAAAAATGTTACAGTCTTTAGATGGTGGAGTATTAATTATAAGTACTCCACGTACAGGTAGATTTAGATTACCCACTACACCTTCTTTACTGCTCATATTCAAATCTAGTTCTATCGCAATTTCAATGCTGAAAACAAAACATAAGACACTGGCCTGGAGTCATCTACTAGTATGGAGCTGCACTAAGTATAAGTTCTAGTCCAATTTCTGGATCGAGGAATTTTAGAACAACTTCACCTCGCTGCTCTAAATCATTATGCCAGATGAAACTAGTTCATCCACTTTTCAGCTCTATTAAAATGCAACGCTGCTTGGTCCCCTCTCGCGGACTTACGCTGTACTTCTTTTTTTCATACATGATAGATAATCTACGAACTTGTCGCATGGAGGATGGACATCCCCTCATTATTTATAACCGGTGCTGCTACAACCTCTTACTTGATAGATTATCAAATCGTTTCTACGCATAGATCGAAAATAATTAGTGAGAATTCTCCACAAGCACCTAAAAAATATTCATTTTCATCATCAAAATCATCAACATCATCTGATTTCATATAATAAAAAAACAAGAAAACTATACCGATCTCTGCAGATGTCAACGATTTTGTCCAGTGAAGATACAACAATGAGGGTGAATTTCAGTCAATTTTTGTTTAACAAGTTCAAACACATGATTAAAGAAGCTACGCCCCGTAACACCACCAATCTCGTTACTTCTTGGAAAGTTTTGCCTTGGTAGTGATTTTTTGATTTTTAATTTTGATCATAAATTTTGACTTTTGATTTAGAACTTAAAATTTAAGTGTTGAATTTTGATTTTGAGTTTTGAGCTTTGATCTTGGCTTTTGAGTTTTGAGTTTTGATTTCGGGTTTGAATTTTGAAAACCAGCACACGGGACGACAACACCGCAAAAACGCGCAGCGTTTTGCTATACTCGCAAACTTTGAAAGTTATGACATGCAAGAACTGCGAAGGCCAGAACGTGAATGGTAAAAGTTAAGGCGTAAACTGTGAAAGTAGTTTGTTAGGTCATGAATTGAGAAAGTTAGGCCGCGAATTGATTCTGAAAATTAAGACATGGGTCGCGAACAATGCTGAGAGTTCAGTTGGGGCATAAACTTTGGAAGTTAGGGCATGAGTTTTAGAAGCTTCGAGAACACCGCGCCCGAGAGTCACCGGCGGCGGAAAATCTTGGCAGAAAGTTGCCGACGCTCACACGCGCGGCCCCTGTCCTTGTCTCATTAGCACGGAGCCCACGAGAGCCCCGAAAACAAAACCGACGCAACCCACACACGACAGACCAAGCCAACACCAAAGGCCTCACAAGTCCGGAGAGAGAAACAGAGAAACCACAAAAACCAGCCAGAGACAGAAAACGCAGAGCCCCACGCTGGCCCGCTGCAAATTGTTGCGCTTGCGAGTTTGTTCTTGGCGGTCCATTTCCGAGCCTTCACCAAAAAAGATGGAAGGCGAAAGCCTCAGAACCTTCGCAGAATGTCTGCAGCGTGAAAGTTTGCAAGTTCTGACAGTGTTGGAGCCTCATGCGCTTACCTTGCTTCTCGGCAAGGTTCTCTGTTTTGAAAGATTTCGCAAGCTTTTCGCCAAGGTTTTCGCTTTTTCAAAAAGACAAAAACGAGACGAAGCGCCACCCCAGGCACCCACTGGCCAACGCCGTCCCGCTTTGCCACTGCTTCCGCGCCTGCGCTTCCCCTATCGTCAGCCCAAGTCCTTTACACCTCGAGGAGCTTGCACAGGTGTGCCGCGGCTGCATTCCAGGCGGCGCCGGTGCCAGTGGTGTGCGGGCGGTCCACACCCACTCGGCGCCGGGGCTGTTGACAACGGAGAAACAAAACACAAACACAAACACAAACCAAAGCGCCCAAGGCCGCGCCGGCGCCTTTTTCGTCCTTACAAACACGGAGACAGCGAAGGCCAATTTTTCGCGAAGATTTTGCGGCCATCTTTCGGCGGTATCCTCCAAGAAAGTCAAGACAAGAACTCTGAAAGTTATGAGTATGGCATGGATTGTAAAAGTTAAAGCGTGAGCTTTGAAAGCGGGGGCATGACTTTGAAAACTGAGGCAGATACTTTGAAAGTTAGAGAATGAATTTTGAAAATTAAGCCGCCCAGGAGTTACGGCTTACTTTGGTGCCCCGCTCTTCTCTCCGCCCGGCCGCGCCTTCCTTCGGCTCGCGCACTTAGGGAGTGAAGTGAGCTCAAAAAGCTAAAGCGTCCACTTTCGCGCCGCGCCCTTCTCTCACCCCAGCCCTGGGCCCGCGCTGCCCGATGGTGCGAGGCGGCAGCCTCGTGCACTCGCGTCGCTCGCTTGCGTGCAGTCACTTGCTTGCAGCGCCGCGCCCCACAAGCAACGCCCTGCACCTCTGAACCCCCGCGGACCGGCGTGGCCTCTGAGCGCCTCAGACCCCAGCGAACAAATTCCCACGGCGTGGCGTGTGCCTGAGTATGCCTCCCGCTTGAAGATAAGCCCGCAGGCGCTTCCGCCCTTACCAGGCGCCCGCGTATCCTCTCGAGGCAAACGGCGCGAACCAACAAGGCCCGCCGCCCCGCGGCAGCGCGCCCGATGACGCCCCGCCAAGGCTGACACTTCTCAGGCTTCTCCGCAATTGTGGCGCCTGTTCAAGCATGTCCGTGCGTGTGTTTTGTCTGGCGAGTGTCTCTGGTTCCCATCGTATCCCCCCTGGGGAACCACACTAGGGGGCTAGTCAACTAGATATCGCTTATGATGGTCCTCTCTGTGTCTGTGAAGGTCCGTCATCGAATTGCCGCACATTGGTGCACGTGCAAACCGTGCGAATGTCTCTAGAATTATCTTGGTCCTAGAGTACACGTGGTTCACACAATCGAAACACACAAAGAAAATCTCCATCTACATCAATTTCGTATATTCAAAAATCATTAGTTGAGAACAGCTGCTGGCATTAAACAAAACTAGACCATATCATACTTCATCAGGGCAAGAATCGTCAAATTCGAACAATGCTTTTAGTGGAGCATCTACTTCCTGAAATAAACAATATCAACGATCTTTATGATGTATTTGTATATCCCCTTTTTTATAAAAAAACGCGACTCATTCTCATTGACTCATCGACATTTTTTTACAACGAATGTAAATGCATCGACCCTCTACGGCATTGCTCAGATATGCCAGCACTGTAAAATAATTATTTCGATGAAAGGACTCAATCAACCATTTCAATTCAGAGACAATCCATAGAACAAGTTGAACGACAAGCGAAGAGCGTAAATATATTACACCGTAGGAAACAAAGGAGGTTGTAGGCGGTACCATTGATAAAAATAAAAAATTTTCTTCAGATGATTCTATCATCGTGTTTTCTAGAGACACAAGTCGCCATCGATATTACTGAGCGACAGAATGTACCCACTCAAGGCAGGCGCATCACTACATTGGCACTACACGCAGATACTCTAGCGCGCGACAGTCTCACTTCTTCATCTTTGATAAAAAGCCATAGCCAATATTGATGCAAATAATAAATTGGGTTTGGGATCGCCTTGTATCTCGATGTTGGTACCTTCAGCTTGAATAGGTCAGCGCCGCTTCATCGATCGACGCCAGGCGGGCGAGGTTGTAAAAGTAAAAGGGCCAGGAAGTAGCAAACACGGGTAGTGAATGCTGATGCTGAATTGACATGAGCCTGAAATAGAGAGGGACACGAATCTGCATTTTCTACATCTACCGTCTGGGTTTCTTTTCACAGCATGATCAGCATCACAATCAAGGGACAACATATAATAAAGGTCATACATAAACTTGCTCACTTGCAATAATTATAGAGCAGCTTATAGGTGTGCCAGATCCGGGATGGGATGGATGGGATGGATCGGATGGAACGGATGGACCTCCCACCATTTCAAGTAGGATCGGAAGAATCAGGGGGGTCCATCCGATCCATCCAAGTCCATCCTACATCCGTTCTATAGTAAACTACTCTATAATTATAATAGAGTTGGCCCTTTTATTCCTACGTCTTGGAAAAAAGGTAATGGGACGCACAGAAACTAAAGTGTACTCCTGTGTTATGTTGGTTGCTGTCCCAGTGCTGCCTGGCTATTCCCTAATAATTCCATTGACAACTTCATCTAAGTAGTTCTACACCTCACTCAACGGTCATAAAGTTAAAGAAAAACCTGTCGCAGGCTCTTTGAAGGGAAATAATTGAGTAGCTGCACCGACGGACTGCGCTTGTTACCGTCTCGATGTTCTTACATACCAGGGCAGCACAGCAATCTCGAAAGCCTTGACAAGTATGACGCCTGACGATCTACGTATTCGTTGCATTGATTTTTTAGTTTGACATTTAGATTTAGACTCAGACTCAGAGGGCCCTGCACCTCAACCCTGTAGTTGCTCAAACACGAGTGCGACTCTTCTCTAATCAAAGAAATGTGCTTGATAGTATCCGGCACCAAAAAAAACTGCTTTTTCACTAACGAGCCTGGGTCAGAAAAGATAGAGCCATGACATGTTACCAGAGAGCCCCTACCCGTGCCAGTCACACAGTCTCACTCATTCATTCATTCATTCACTCACTCATTTGCCGGTTCTTGAGGTATCTTTTGACGCGCGATAGTTATGAAGATGAAGGACGAAGTGGTGAGAAAGTGTAAGTGATGATCCTCTCGAGCCCACGCGAAAATCTTTCCAGGAGGCCTCTTACAAAGTTATGGCAGTGAAGGGGTTGGACCGCCTTTTCTGCTTTGGGTCTCGCACAAGAAGTCAGCGACTCTCCCTGCTAGTCCTATTAAAAGCAAAGGGCACCTCGCGCAACCTTGGCGGCTTAGCGCAGCGGTGTTGCGAGAATAAAAGAAGCCGTTGCGGCATGATGTGCACTTCACTGGAGATAAACCGGCTGCAGCCAGCCTACTGCTCTCTTCGATAAGTACGGGCTCAATTTTGGGCGCGGCCCGAGCTACGGGGTAAAAAGGTCGTAAACGGATCCCGCGCGTCGTACCGTGGGAGTATCTGAGAAAAAAAGAGCGAACTTGAGTACCTCCCCTCCGCGGTTCATAGATAGATTAAGATGTCACTGATAGATACAGCTCGACGAAAAAAAGGCATCGGTAGCCAGTACGTAGCCGCGGTAGCCTGCCGGGCAAGTGCTTATGACACCAAGGGCGCCCGTGGGAACCCAGCCCTCACGCTCTGCTTATTGTCATCACATCAGTATCGAATCCCAGTAATAAATTAAGAGTCTCTCCTCAGTCTTCGTGCTATATTGATACTCAAGTAAAAATTTTTGCTCGAGGACCAGTTTCGGTTTCAGGCGATGAGCGGCAAACCAGGATGCTATGTGCAACGACCCTTCAAGCATTACGACGCAGATCAAGAATTCCCCTACCTAACACTGCCTTAATACCTCTACCAAATCTACATGCGATTACGAATTCGATAGAGACACGCTAGAGCCGAACCCGAGACGAGTTACAGACCAGAAACTGACAAGGGCACGAAAAACTTCGTTAGTCGGCACAGATACTGATCCAGTCGCGTATTAAATGAAAACAAGAGAGACGACATTGATAAAGAAGCATCCTCATGGCCATGCCCAGGCATGACTATATTCTTAAGCACACGAATCCCGACCAGAATAACAAGGCGATCTGCAATATAGAACTATAATAGAACAGGGATTTTTTTGCTTTTGACCCGCATCGGGTCGAGCTGCTCGAGTTGCCCACCCTATTTTTTTTGCGCGGCGTCCTCCAGGCGCGGCTTCGTGAGACATCGAGAGACCTTAGCAGGAGTGCACGGCGATGCGAGTTGTGTCTCTGCTCCTTGCTTTTCTTCTATCTTGGTGCGCCCTTGAACGAAGCTCAGCCAAGAGGATCCCTGCGTTGGGGGCCCTGCCTAAACCTTCGACTTTTGTGCCTAAGTTTCAGCTTTAAGTAGAAAAGTCCAAACTTTAGGCAGAAAAATCCAAAATTTAGGCAGAAAAGTCCAAAGCTTAGGGAGCAGAAGCCAAAGCTTAGGCAGAGAAACAGCTCGAATTTAGTCCACCGCCCCGCTTCGGAGCCACCGGGTGGCTCCAGAAGGAACGCAGAACAAGTGAGCCGTTAGGCAATGGCCCAGACGGTGAAATTTTAGGCAACCGACTCCGCCGCTGCGATACAGCGCTAAAGTTGTCTACTTAAACAAGAAAAGAAGCATCTGCCTAAATTTCGAATTTACTTAGGCAGAAAACTCGAAGGCTTAGGCAGACCGCGAAGGGATCCTTTTGGTACAGTCTTCGGCTGTACTCGAGACGCTTGCTTGACCAGGCGAGGACTGCGGGGGGGCCGGCAGGAGGGGCATCCGCCAGGTGAAGACAACCAAGGGGGGCAGCCAGATGACCACAGAGGGTCCAACGCGGGGGCCCTGGGGGTTGTGGCATGTACCAGACCAGCCCACCCAGCTGCCCACCGACGTCAGGCCGCGCCTACCGCTACTCGCCAATACATCAATCCCCGCCGCATTCTCAACGTAACTCGTCACAGTCACAGCGGCACCCTCCAGCCGCAAGCCGGCTACGATTGCCTACGGACCCACCGCGGCGGGAGCCCCTCGCCCACACCGCAGCGCAGCGGTGCGGAGGCCTATCCCTAGCTTGACACCCCCTAACTAAACCACCGGGCCGCCACCGAGTCGAAAGCGGCGCGCCGCTATCGATCCCAAACGGAAGGAGGCAGCGCCGCCCCAGCCGTCTTTTGCGAAGGACGTCGCGAAGACGACGCTCCGCATGTCGAGCAGGCACTTCTACACCCGCACCGCCCTGCTTTGCCCCATTTCGATGGGGCAGGTTTCTCCCGGCAACTCGTGGCAACTCGTCCCAAAACTGGGGCTCTTCGCTTCGGCATCTCGAGCAACTCGAAGCCCGTTGCTGTCCCTACTCTACGTAAATATAACAGCACAATGTTAACGATATCGAGGCTACTAAAACTAATCCAACCTTTCAACACAAGTACTAAAGAATTGATGTCATTCATGGTCTTCAGATCCAGTCCGCTGACGAGTTCTCATCTGCAAACTCGACTGACCGATGTAAATGTATATACTCATACAGTCTGAAGATCGATATACATGTACAATAGAAACACTCAGCTAACAACTTGTTTGCTGCACGTTCCAGTTCTGCGCGCATAAATACTAGCCATCGAGAATCCATTGCGAGCAGCAGGTCACGTCTCAGCACGACCAATATCCAATGTCTATTTCACAATAAAGTCACACTACTGTCCCATGAATGATTTTCCACTATCGACGTAGAAGCCAGACTGTAGTAGAAGCGTGGTCTTCACAGGCAGAGCCGCCTTAATTTAGGCCCGCTGTAGAAAAAGCCTGTGCCTTTGACGTCTACAACACGAACCGGAGTCAAGGAACTTACAGAAACACTCAGACTCAGCTCAGCTGTCAGCATAAGAGGAACCCGCTATAACAACTAATTGACATGCTACACAAGGAATAATCGGAAGAGGAAACGAAGTAAAACATTGAACCTAACAACAACGAGAGTCGTGGCAGACAGTCAGAAGCCCCCGTGACCGATCATTATTTGAAGAGAGGCCGAAACTCATTCGCAGCGCGGCGGTACGTACTGGTACTGGGGTTGGCCCACGCATCCCTCTGAACGATACCAGGCGACCCATGTTGTTCTCCCCCACACACTCCCCGAGGATGAAGGGCAGAACGAGACCGCAGACACCATCAAAGGACATTCATTATTTAAACGACCGACATGAAATTGAAACGTGGTCGTGGAAAAGCTACAACTACTCGGACTAATCTCAACCCAGACTAGTAGGACATGAATAAGGGCGCGTGGTCAGAAAGATGGTCTGAACAAGCGAGGAGGTCGGTGGTCGCGATTGTTCGAAATCTTAGCAATAGGAATAGCACAATTAATTGAAATACTAAAGCAGCTCGTGGAGGAGATAATCCTATATTATAATCATTAAAATTAATGTTGTAGAAACTTATTTCAGTTACCTTCTCCTGCTGAGGCATTTTGCTGTATTCAATCATTCACTCATTCTTTACTCGCAAAAAGTTTGCGTTGATTTTTTTTTTTGTGTTGACTCCATCACGTGGGCCTTGTAGGCACAATGTTAAATCACGACAACAGAACAAGAGCTAGTGCGAACGAAGTGAGAGAGGGAGCGGGAGGTGAAGATAAAAACTAAAAACTTCTTTTTTTGCTAGATGAAAAAAAACTAAGAGTAGGAAGTTAAGGGTGTAGAAGAGCTGAAGAACATGACCGAACTGCAACAAAATGTAGTCAGTTAACTGGAAGAAACTCGACAGCGAGCCAACTTTTGTGAACCTACCTCGAAGACGACGATGGCGATCACGATCACGAGGGCGAGACTACTCAAATCCTTCAACTTAGCTTGTACACTGAGGATGAAGCAGGCCAGTTACTAACAACAAACTTTTCTCCCACAACTCGGGTGACGCCAAACCACACGAGAGGCAGTAGGTGCGGTTGTTCTATTTTATCACGATAAAATCGAAAAATCTACTCCAACTTTTCAAGAAATTCTACTTACTATGCAGGAAAGCCTACAGCTACTTGTGACTATACTGGACGTAAAATAAGCGAGGCGATGAATGACCACAATGAACTCCGATGATCGTCTTGAGAGAAGTCATCGTGGGGTCATCACCGGACCAAGCATCAAGGACGAACCGACGGAGGAGGCTACGCACTACTTCCTTGTCGGACCTTTATTCCACCGTGCCTCTCCTGCGTATATCATCATAACGACATTAAACTCGAAACTTGTCATGTTGACGTCTTTTGCTCTAGTTACTTTAAATTTAATATATTTTCACGAAGAAAGTGAAAGACCATGACCAACACGCCATCGCAAATCATCCTCGATCTCAGTTCCAAAGCATGATGGAAGAAAAAACGCTGGACATTCATCCTAATTTCTTTTCCTCGGTGAAAAAAAAAATGACCTCATTGTATTCGCATCGATTCGAAAGAGCCTGAATCGGCTTTTTATTCGAAAAATCACTACGACGTGGACTGTCAATGTGACTGTAACTGATTTACAGTGTAACAAAGGGCTTAATTTGAATTTGTAGACGCTCTACCACGAGATGAAAGGCGCTGGCGCAGCTTAAGATTCATAAAGTATAATACATAGTCATAGATATCATGATAATCCGTTTTCTTTATTTAATTACATCTACATCGTTATCTAAAACATCCCGCACGCATCGTCTAGCAGGGCTCGCATATCAGCTCACCGCAGTCGCTTTCATCCAACACGTAGGAGGTAGGAAACCAACCAATGGTGTTCCGCGGAAAATTCTTCCCGTACATCCAGCCGTCCTCGTCATCCTTGACGATCGCAACTCTGTCGCCGCAGAAGAGGTCAAATTCTTAGAAATAATGACTCTCATACATAGATAGGTATGTGATGTCTTCGCGGGGAATATTTGGAATCTCACGAGATTGATTGACTGATTGACTGGCTCATTCAAGTGACTATTCTCGAGGTAAAGGGGCTCGCATTTGTGGTGGACAGGCGGATACTTACATTCGCATTTTCACGACAGTCTCCCCGTATGAAGCCTTAAATGTAGCCCTCACCGTACGAGCCTGCGTCAAAGTCGCCTTTAGCTCGGGAATGAACTAGTTTTATTCCGCGCTTCGCGTCGCCGCCCTTGAGGCTCTGGAGAGGCGGCGCTTTCTTCTTCCCCTTAATATCTGATTCAATAATTGTCATTCCGGTCAACACCATTTTGGGCAGGCTTCACTCGTCGACACCAGAGTAAAGGTACTTTTACTTGCAAAACACTTTCACAAAAAAGGACGTAAAAGAAAAATCACTATATATAAATACAAATCCGACTCAGACAGAGACTCTTATATATATATATCGAATCCAAAAAACAGTGGAAATAGTGGATGTCGAAGAACCTCCTAACCCTTAGAATCTATATATTAAGAAACGACACTGCCTACAAAGAAACAAAAAACATTCTGTATCTTTGCAGAAGTAAAAGATGATGCGAAAAAAAATAGTAAGCTTTGAAGCGGAGAGAACAGTGCAAAAGTGGTAATATACTTGCCATGACTTTGACTGGTAGGTCCTTCACTTGACGCAGTTCGGTCACCGAGTGCGCGTACCTACAATTTCCGCCAAACCGACAGTTTTCGCAAGAACCTTGCAGAGTTTGAGTTTGTACGTGCTGAGGATGTGATGGATGATCTTAGGATCTTCAATTTCAGGTTCGAATTGTTCAACAAATAAATCGTAAGAAATGTTGGAATTTGAGCTGAATTGTACTTGTAATTGTAAGACGATTGAGAATAAAAACCGTATACGGCTGCAAAAGTAAATCCAAGGAGCCTGAGCTACCTGGGCCTCCTCGGATATAATAACATTAGCATTGGATTTGGAAATAACTACCGAAACAAACTTTCGTTTTCGCGAAGCATTCGGTCGAACGCAGTTCGTCTCTCGAATGAGCGTAGGGACAGTCTTTCCGTTTGCAGTCTCCGAGGCGGGGACATATCGAAGTCTTTGACAAATCTGGCTTCAGCTTCAGCTCCTCTCGCATTAGAAGTGGAGCCCATTCAGCATCAGCGGGTACTAGCCTCCTAGCTCATATTCCATAGGCATAGGTTATATGGCACAGGCACTGGTCCGACGTACTACAAAACTGGTGATTTGCAGCTTTTTATACATCTTTATCATTCAAGATCATCTGCAACTTGACCTTGCGATAATGATACCACATATATGCGTGAGGAGTTTGAGTCATTTCATATCACATTCCTATTCTTTATTCATCATGGTTCGCATAAGAGTGAATGCGCATGGTGACAACTGTCTCCCCATGAACAGGTGCCATGAACATGGTAATAGCACAGTTTGGTCTTGTACCTGGCGCGAATGCAAAGGGAAGGATGATGTGGACCTGAGCAAATAAAAAGACGACATATTTTTACCTTTGATGAAAAAAGAGGGGTACAGAAGATTTTTTGAAAAAAAGTAATCCTGTGCTCGGATCAGACAGCACTTACGCGAATGCAAAAATCTATAGGCACTGGAACAATCTCAATATTCGAGTAGTAGTAGTAGTGTGCCCATTCGAGAGGTAGCAAAGATTTTTAATTATGGTCGATTAATGAGTATTTAAATATTACGGGTGGAGCCAAGCTAACTAGAAAAAAAGGTAAGGTATGAGTATTTAAATATTTATAGGTTTCCAGATCCAGGGCCAGGGGTAACAAGAATAATAATACAGTTGCCCATTTGACGCAGCTGTGACTATCTTCCCGCGACGCGCAACTTGTCCCGGTTGCATCGGTGGGCTCCGTGTTCGTTTCTGTGGCATACCCTGCGCACCACCGTAAGCGGCGTCCATGGCTCTTGTGCCAGGTCGCGCCCACCCCCGACCGCTCATTTCCCGTTCGTAACCACTAAACGATTGTTGTTGTTGCTGGTGGTGCTGCTGCTGCATCATGCATCCAGCGCTAGCCCTGTTCCCCTGTACCTGTAGTGTGTAGCCCGCAACGCCTCCTGTGGTACCACCTCTGCTGGTCGCGATCGTAGTTGTTGTTGTTGTAGCGGAAGGAATCATCAATGCTATTGCTGACGACATATTGTCTAACCCCGGTTGGTGCTGCTGCTCTCGCGGCTCGCTCCCATAGTTTGATGGTAGTCCGCCACGACAGCCTGAGCCAGCAAACATAGCATCCTGACTCGTATGGTTATACGCCATCATTGTTCTACTGCTAGGAAGATATGGCGGTCCGCCGTTCATTCGCTCGCCCATCGCCATCCTAGATGAGATCATCATATCGTGAGACGCACCGGGTGAGCCGCCCCTTCGCGGCTGTTGCCCATGGCCTTGTCGTTCGTCGGCCAATAAAAGATCACTGGAGACACGTTGCACGTGTTGGGCTTGGGAGCGATGCATACCATACATAGCGGCACCAGAAGCTCCTCCAATTCGAATTCCGTGTGGTCCACTTTTGAGGACATCGACTCCACTTGCAGAAAAGCCGTCTATTCGTTCACGCAACACGCCAGAGTCCATGTTGTGCCCCAGACCATGAGTGCCTCTTGAAAGACCTGGCTCGCAACATTAGAAGAACAAGATGTAAGTAAATAAGGGTCTCGACCTAGAAGATTTTTCAACTAAGTAGTAGAAAAAAAGGAGGTTTTTCATTTTCTAGCTCACTTCTACCTATAGTCCTTCAGAATCTATGCATTATTTTTTAGATTTACTACGCGAGACTAAGACAATTAGAAGACAAAAATGTTCGTAAGCATAGTGCCTACTTTGTTGCTGCTGCGAAGGTGTCGCGATGGATCTGGATGGGGCCATAGACGCTCGATGCTGAGCCATGCCAGCGTTTAGTGCGCGACCTCGATGAACCGCCCTGACGACATCGTTGTAGTCGCCAAGATATCGAGGATGGTGCGGGGTCTCAACTCCGCCTGGGAGAGCTCCAGGTAAGGTGCCAATATCTGCTGGCACACCTCCACGCCCGTTGTGGGGAGCCACGTCCTCCTGAAAATGCGTCGAACCGAAAGAGGATGCCATTCTGCCGGGATGCACGCGACTATGCCCCGAGAGAGGGCGCGCCATATGTGGGTGTTGCGTACTGGGTCTGCTTGTACCGTGTCCACCCGGGGGAGCTACTACACCATTCCCGTTTACGAGGTAGCTGCTTTGTATCGCGCCTGCTCCGCCGTCATATTGCACATTGCTGCTGTAGCTCGACTGGGTGCGCATTCCGTGCTGATGCGGCGGCGCGTGTTGTGACCCATTTGGGGCCAAGTGCTGCTGCTCGTTCCGAGAGTATCCGCGGGCTGAGTGCATTTCCCCGCCACCACCCAAAGAGCTCGTGCTCTCACATTGTGAAGACGACGAGCCTCCACGTGGTCCGCCTGTAAAGTAAGTGGATGGCTTGACTTTGCACTACTCGCAATACGCCCGGCGTTGGAGCGTATATACATGCCCAGAAAGCGGCCCCATCGAGGGCCCGCTGCACTGGGCATAGGTTAGCAACTAGACAGGTAGAGGTAAGACGAACAAGTAAAGTCGCTAATTCCGCTCGCTAGGGCGAGGGAGAAAGACTGACGAGGCTAGGTCGTAAGCTGGCTACCGCTATGGCTAAGCTAGTAGCGCGCTGGCTGTGGCTAAGCTAGCAAAGCACTGCTGCCCTGGCTACTGCTAGCAAACTGGCGATGGAAAAGCTAGCGGGCTGGCTATGGCTAAGCTGGCAAGCTGGCCATGATTAAGCTAGCAAGAGAATGGCTATGGCTAAGCTAGCCGCCTGGTTTTGGCTATGGTTGAGCAAGCAAGCCAGCCAGGGAAGCTGGTTGTCGCATCGCTATGGCTAAGGTAGCGAGGCAAGGAAGCTGGCCATGGCTAAGCTACGCACAGCAAAGCAGGGCAAGCTGGTTACGGCTGAGATAATCTAGCAAGCCAGGAGGGCTATCCTGTCCTATGGCTAAGCTAGCAAAGCAAGCTGGCCACGGCTGAGCTAGCGCGGCAAGCTGGCCACGCTATGGCCAAGCTAGCAGGCTGGCTATGGCTGATCCCGATGCGCCAGGTTCTTGAGAATCAGCGAAATCCTTAAAGGATTCGGCTTAAGAGATCGGATGGCCCTTGAGGGGGTACCTATTTTTATTAGCCTAAGTTTATTGCAAGGGCTCTTTAAGGGGCCTCCTTAAGGCTTACCCATAGCCTTTACTAGGGAAGACCTATAGCGACTTTTATTATCATAGAAATTCCTTAAAGGGTGCCATTTCCTTAAGGAAGCCCTCTAAGGAAGGCTCTTAAGGATTTTCGGGAAAACGCTTATACTATAGATACTATTTACACAGTTAGATCATTATAATGAAAGCACCCTTCGTCGTTGTCATAATCCTGATCCTGATCGAACAAGTACAGATAAGAAAAATATTTACTCAAGTGGAAGAAGATGAAAACTACATCCGAAGAGTTAGAGTTTGAGTTACAACAAAAAACGAAAAAAACCTCCGTTTGCGGTGCCCTCTGACGCTGAAAGCCGTGGACCAAAGGTAGATGACTCTTCTGGCGACGACAACAAGCTAGGATGAGTTGTGGAAGACGACTCGTATCCTGTGGACGCTTCACCCGGACTCTCAAGACGGTTGCTCTGGAGTTGTAAAGAGAAGAATGGAGGGACCAGGAGAGCGATTACTGTTTATTTTAGCCCCGATCTTCAGGTGTATGTAGGTTGTGCGAATTGGATTCATCTATTGTCCATCTATTCAAAGTAGTGCTTTGGGCTCAATCAACAAATTTAGTTGAACTTCTGAAATCGAACAACCACCTTCTTCATTTTTCGCACAACCCAATATTACTATGAATAATAGTGTGAAGCCCGTCTTACCCCGTTCCTTGGAATAACTGGCATCAGCGACGGTGGGCTTGCTGGTGATCCGTGATAACCCCAACCTTCATCTGCAAATAATGGTGGCGGTCCTGTCATGAAAATCAACCAGGCGCTGTATCATAAAGGTCCTTCATGATGTAGCAAAAACAATTCAACTCGGCTACAAGGCAAACAATGCGAGGAGTGAACGTAACCTCAAAAGGGAGGTCACGTCCAAGAAAATGTACTAGAATGTGGTACCAGAAGCAAAGGGAGCCCCCGGAGGGTGGTACTGCAGCGGTTTCTGGGTCTCGCGTACGTGGTACATATTCAAGCCGGAGGCAGCAGTCCCGAACGGCTGCTCGCGCGATCCAAATTGCATATTGTTTTCACTCGTCTTTTTAGTGATCTCCAGTAGCAGTACTAATCACTTTTTTATTTCTAGTTATTCTTCTTGTTTTTAGGCTGCTAGAGCTGGTAATAGTTGTATCAGTATGATGATTATCTTTCTCGAGTTCGTCGCACGAAAATACAGCGCATTACACAAGAAGAGCTCGATCTAAATATTAAGAGCAATAAAACTTTGCAAACACATCCCTTCGGAAACCTCAACCTCCAACACCGAAACCCAAAACCTCCAACACCCGAACCCAAAACCTCCGACACAAAAACAAACAAACCCCAAACCCCAAACCCATGAACCCATGAACCCATGAACCCATGAACCCATGAACCCA